GGGTTCCTCCCTCCGCTCTGAGCAAATAAGTGAATAAATGAATGGATGAAGGAATGAATAAGTGAATGAGTGAATAAATGAAAATGAATCAATGAATGGTGCGGAGGCTCCTGTGGGGGGGTGGCGCGGGGGGATGAACCCCGACACCTCCCGTCTGCACTTGGGAAGTTTCTGTTGGAAACTATGGCCAGCGCGGACATAACTGGGCCGTGGCCTGCAGCCCCAGCTCGTGGGATTCATAAGGGAGGGTTCTCTGCTTTTTCTTATTTATGGTTTTTGTTTGAGGGCTAGAGCGATAGCACAGCGGTAGGGCGTTTGCTTTGTGCGCGACTGACGTGGCTGACCCAGGTTCAATTCCTCCGCCTCTCTCAGAGAGCCTGGCAAGCTCCCCGTGACGCATTCGATATGCCAAACACAGTAACAAGTCTCACGATGAAGACATTACTGGGCCCGCTCGAGCAAATCGATGAGCAACAGGAGGACAGTGCTACAGTGAATCAATGAATGAATAAACGAGTGAAGGAATGGTTGAAGATCAGGTTATGGGTGTCTCCTGCTGAACTTTGGTTACAGAATTCCTATACATGTTGTGCGCGCATGTACACACACGCGCACACACAAATAGATACACACAGGTACAGTCCGACACATGCACACACTTATTGTTTTTGTGTTTTGCTTTTTGGGTCACACCCAGCGATGCACAAGGGTTAGTCCTGGTTCATGCACTCAGGAATTACTCCTGGCCGTGCTCAGGGGACCATATGGGATGCTGGGAATCGAATCTGGGTCGGGCCGTGTGCAAGGCAAACGCCCTACCTGCTGTGCTATCACTCCAGCCCCACATACACACACTTAGACACTCGGGTGGTCACCCAGCCCCTGGCATCCCTACAGAGTTGTGGGGGTGGGGCAGCTGGATTAGTGCTGCCCTTGAGGTTCCAGGTATCCTGTGCCCTCCTGAGAGAGTAGGAGACCATTTTGGGCAAGGACCCACCAGAAGGACCCCGCCTCAAGGCCAGAGCCACCTGCAATTCCGGGGAACTTTAGGGGCTCCCGTGGAAAGTGAGAGGGCCTTTGACCTGAGCTGCTTATGGGTGTTTGTGCCATGAGAAGGCTTTGGGGGAGACTGGGGAGGTGGCAGGGATCCGTCTGGAGACCAGTCGGACCTGCATCTCCCAATTGTCCTCATGTTGGGGCTGGAGCAATAGCACAGCGGGTAGGGCGTTTGCCTTGCACATGGCCAACCCAGGTTCGATTCCCAGCATCCCATATGGTCCTGCCCTGAGCACCGCCAGGAGTGATTCCTGAGTGTAAGAACCAGGAGTAACTCCTGTGCATTGCCGGGTGTTACCCAAAAAAGCAAATAACAACAACAACAACAACAAACCCAAAATGAACCACAAACCAATTGTCCTCATGTACACTCACAGTCTAGCGTCTAGAGATGTCCCACTCTGAGGCCCCACCCACCCCGGGTGCCCCGCCCATGTGTGGGCCACGCCCACACAGAGGCCACGCCTTTGTCGGGTTCCCACCCACTATGAAGCCACGCCCACACAGAGGTCACGCCTGCCAGCACCCGCGCCCCTTCCCTCACCTCCAGCATGGACAGTGGACTCAGCACCTGTAGGTTCCTGGTGCAAAAGATTGCGGTGGAACCCCAGGAAAAGGCACTGAGCTCCAGGAGAGGGAGGAATTGTTGACACAACAAGTAAAGGGGGTTTCCAGCCAGAGTGGGGACAGAGATCTAGAGGTGGGGGCGGCAGAGCTGTGGGGAGCTGTGACTGGGGGAGCTTTGGGGGAGCTTTGGGGGAGAAAGATGCCTGGGGAGCTGTGACTGGGGGAGCTTTGGGGGAGAAAGATGCCTGGGGATTGTGGCCGTGTGTGACCCTCATAAGTGCGCAATGACATGCTCAGGGCAGCCAGAGAGACACCTTAACTATTTGGGAACATCCCATAGACACCCACTGGGATGAATCTGGTCTGTGGGCTGAGGAATGTGTCATTTGCCAATGCACCAGCGGACAGAAGCAGACCCCTGGGCAAGGTAATAGGGAGTAGTGAGGAGTGCGGCAAACAGGGCTGGGGAACCAAGGTCCTTCACAGAACCTGCTGACCCCCCGAGGCATCATTGAGACAAGCAAAGGAGGCCCCAGAGGGGCTCCTGAGGGAGAGGAGGCAGCTATTGCCCTGAAGGAAGCTTCTGGTCACTCTAGGTGGCCATCTCCTGGGGCCTGAGTTACACACATGCACACACGGGGGGGGGGGGGGGGCAGTGTCCTTGCTCGAGGACGGAGCTGGGGCTGGAGGTAGCCCAGGTGCACCCAATCGCTGTGCCCCGGCCCTGGGTGGGGAGAGGAGCCGTGCCAGCCTGGCGTGACGGAGGCCCTGGAGAAGTGAGGTATGTCTCTTATTGGTCACAGTACATTTATTTTTCATTAGCAGTTAAATGCGGACATGAGGGATTGTGCTGGGTTCAGCGGGCGGCTGACGTGAGCAGTGCTTGGCCCCGTGATCGATAGGGGAGACTTGGGGGTTGGTGGGGGGGGGATAGTGGGCAGGCAGGCCTGCTTTTTTAACCCCACACCCCACCTTCTGAGACCTAGCCCACAGGCCAGGGGGCTGCCCCCGTGGGCTGCTTGGGGGGCATCCAGCTTGCCCTTGGGGTCTTGCGTGGATGCGGTGACTTCTCCGAAGGTTCTCGAGGTCACTGAAAAGAATTGGCCCCCTTTCAGATCCTCACACAGAGGGTGCCATACATACCTCCCCCTCCCCCACACCCCACTGTGCTGCCTGATTTTGGGGCCCGGTCACTTGCTGCTTCCCAGAGAGTGAGGAGTTAATGGGGAAAAGGAAAGGAACCCGCAGGAAGGAGCAGGGCTGACTCCCCCCAGCCCAGCTGTGAGATGTCTAGACGCCTCTCCCTTCCTCCTGAGGGCCTCTGCAGAAGCCCGTGGTAACGGAGGGCAGGCGGGGGGCCCTGACGGGTCTCTGGGAAGATGTCTGGGGTGCGGTGGGGTGGACGTGATGAGCTTTCCCCAGCTGCCAGTGTGGTCCTGGCCTCCTGACCTTCACCACGGAGCTGCAGACACAGGCACATGGAGCCTGTGTGAAGTCACCAGAGGGAGGACGCGATCAAGGAGAAAGCGCAAGACTGTCCTGGGGTGGGGGAGAGGCGCGGGGACCCTCCAATCCTGTGGACACTGCCCTGCCCCTATAAAATACTCTCACTTGCCCAGTCCCTCCCTTGCCTCATCCCGAGGCTACGGCGCCTGCCAGCAGTGAGCCCCAGTTTCCCCATCAGAGCCCACCCCAGACAAGGTAGCTGAGGTTTCTTTGGGGGGGATGCAGAGTCACACTCAGCGGATGCTCAGGAATTTTTTTTTTTTTTTTTTTTTTTTGCTACTTGGGTCACACCCAGCGATGCTCAGGGGTTACTCCTGGCTCTGCACTCAGGAATCACTCCTGGCAGTGCTGGGGGGATCCTAGGGGATGCCGGGGATCGAGTGGCAATCATGTTCGGTCTAGAGTCTACTCTCATCACGCATCTCCCATCCTGGGAGGAACCTCCTAACACCCTTTATTTAGTGCTCCCTTCTCTATCAGAATTTATTCTTGGCTCTAATCACTCCTAGTGGTGTTCTGTGAACGGTGTGGGATGCCAGGAATGTACTGTCACTCCGGCCCCCACTGGGAGGGTTTCTGAGTTGAAGGTGAGAACATGCAGGTGCCTTTGGAGATGGTAGATCATTGGGTCCAGGGGGCTACGGGCTCAGGTAGGGGTGCCCTGGACTAGGCCCCTGGACCAAGCCTTGCTCATTTCACCCTCCGTCTGGTTCATTTCATCTGAGTGCAGGAGAGGATGATGCCCCAAGCATCCTAGGACACCTCCAGGCCCAGGCCCAGGTGCCTTCCTCCAAGACATGCTCTTGGGGTGACAGGGACGGACTCCCACACTAGAAACAGGATCTTGTACCCCTGGAGAGATGGAGTGGCGCAGATGTTGGGGTGGGGGCTGGGGGCAGAACGAAGCTCCCCTTAGCTTTGGGGGAGAATAGAGAGAGGCACCTCCAGATCTCAGGGGTGATGGGGCCTTTTTCCGCCCAGGTGACACACAGTAACCTCCCAAAGTCACCACCCAGAGGACCTCTGGGGCCCACCCTGCACCCTCTTAGTGTCCAGAGGCCCCTGCCGTGTGTGAGGAAGTTGGGGTGGGGGGGAGGCTGGAGGAATCCATTTGGCGAGAAGAGGTAGAGGGTGCCCCTTCCCCCCTCCCACTCCATCGCATCCCCACCATCCTCTCTTGGGGGTCCAGTGATCGATCAGGGTCAGACTGCTAAGGGGGTTTACCTCTGCCAAGGCCTCAAAGCCAATTACCTGTGTAATTAGCAGCCGATGCCTTGGGACATGGTTGTGGTTTTCAGTTAAAATTAGAAGGAAGCCCACATTCAGGTCTCCTTGAGCCGTGGCACGTGGCCCAGGTCCACATCCTGCCTGGTTCCCTCCTTTGCCCCCTTGCTGGGCCCCTGGGAAGTTCAGGCTCTCCAGCCTCGCCCCTCTTTCGTTTCTTTGGTTATTTTCTGAGTTGGAAACGCCGACGGGGCGATTTCGTTGCACACTGCTGACCCAGGTTCCATCCGCGGCACCCTGTAAGGTCCACTAAGCACGGCCAGGAGCTATGTCTGAGCGCAGAGCTAGGAGTAAGTTCCACTCCCCAAAAGTGGTCCAGGGGGCCTGCAAGATCCTGTCTGTCCCTCGGGTTTTCTCCAGGACCTGCTGGGGCAATGGGCTACTTCCCAGATCCCTAGATTTTGCCCCAGGGAGCACGCCCAAGTCGCTACTGCTGGTCCCTGAGTTCTACTAAGCCTGATTCCCTCCCTGAACAGACAGGAAGTGTCCCCACACCCCAATTTTCAGAGGGGAGTCCAGCCCCCTGGCTGCCCGCCTGGCCATCGGCTAGGTTCCCTGGATTCACCACGTCCCTCTTTCTGTTGCAGACGCCCAGCAGAGTGCCACGGTGGCCAACCCGGTGCCCGGCGCCAACCCGGATCTGCTGCCCCACTTCCTGGTGGAGCCCGAGGACGTCTACATCGTCAAAAACAAGCCAGTGCTGCTGGTGTGCAAGGCCACGCCCGCCACGCAGATCTTCTTCAAATGTAATGGGGAGTGGGTGCGCCAGGTGGACCACGTGATCGAGCGCAGCACTGACGCCAGTAGCGGTGAGGGGCCTGGCTCTGGGGTGGGCCGGGTGTAAGGGGCGGGGCTCGAGGAGGGTTTTTTGAGGGTGTGGCTCTGCGGTGGAAGGGGCGTGGCTAATGAGGCTGGCAGGGAGGGAGTGGCTACAAGGGTGGGCGGGGCATGGTTCAAGGAGGCTGGTGGGGAGGGCATGGCTACGTGGGGTGGGAGGGGCGTGGCTCAAGGAGGCTGGATGCGTGAAGAGAAATGAAGTCAGGAAATTTGCTTATATCCGGATGGGCATTTAGAGTGAAATGAGTGAAATGAGTCAGAGGGAGACGGGAGGACATAGAATGATTGCATTCATTTGCGGGATATAAAAAAACATAGTATGAGAATAGTACCCAAAACTGATGGCCAGGAGGACTGGTAGGAAGTTTGCCACAAGTTGTGGGGGGAGGGCAGTTTGGACAGAGAAGGGACCACTATGACAATGATAGTGGGAAATGATCACTCTGGACAAGAACTAAGTGCGGAAAGGAGGCAAAGTCCTTTCAGTAACAGTATCGCAAACCACACTACCTAAAAGGAGAGGGAGGGAGAGAGGGAGAGAAAGAGGAAGAGGAGGGTGAGCGTTAATTAGGGCCAGGAGAAAGGAATATTCCCAAGCCTGAAGGTGACACACAAGGCACAGGTCCCCAGAGAGAAAGTGAGGTGACCTCACAGTCCCGTGGGATTTTAAACTGCCCAGTGCCGTGGCCAGGACTCTGGTTGACACTTAGGGCAAGTGGCAGGCAGAGGGGGGTGGATGATAGGGAAGCTGAATAGGAAGCAGGGGGATCTGAAGCAGGGGATCTGGGGGTTAGCCCAGACACCGGTTCCCCTAGCCCTGATCTTAGGCAGTTGGTTGTTGATGGAGACCAAGAGGAACTGGAGAGATATAATCCAGCAGAATATCTGACTGTGCACGCAGCTGATCGAGTTCGATCCCAGGGCCATACTGATATGCCTCCCTCAAGAAAAGAAAATGGGAGTGAGGAGAGTCAAGGAAAGAGTTAAAGGGGTAGAATGAGACCCTGAGTTTAAATCCTGACCTCCCAGGTCAGATCTTGGTATCTTGGTGCTCCCCGTCACTGTTCTGCCCTGTCAGTGAAGGGGGTAACCAAAATAAAGACAAAATCTGGAGGGGGAGGGTGTGCTGAGGGCCACTCAGCAGGGCTCAGGGCTTTCTCCTGGCTCTGTGCCCAGGGATCACTCCCGGTGGGGTTCCTGGAACCCTATGGGGTGCCGGGGATGGAACACGGGTCAGCAGCCACACACAAGGCAAGCACCCTACCCGCTGTACTATCACTCCAGTCCCAAAAGATAAATCAAATTAAAGTACGCTTTTTAAATGAGAATGAAGGAGAGTTCCTCTTGAATGTTTTGGAAGAAAGTGGGAGCCGTGAGATTCTGCTGGAGACTCTCTCCAAGCCCTTCCACTCCCTGCACCCCACGCGCAGAGCTCAGCCCCCTCCTTGCAGCCTGCAGAGCGACCCCCACACCCCTTGCTGTGGCGACTCCCCCAGGGACAAGACTAGAAGGGGAGGAAGGCTAGTGACAGCCACAGGCGAGGCCAGCCACCACTCCCATATCCACCCGCCCCTCCCCCCCCTCACGCCCACACAGGCGTCCAGCTTGGCTCCGTTCAAGCCTGGCACAGAGTTTCTTGGGAAACGTGCCCAGAGAGCTTCTAGCCTTGGAGCTTCTAGCCTTGGAGCTTCTAGCCTTGGGCCTCCCAAGGACCAGCATTTGTCATTGACGGCGCGGATCTCTAACCCGGACGAGTTGCGCGCTGGGGGCGGAGCGCGGTCTTACTCGCAAATATGCAAATGTGCCGCGTGCCGCGTGTGCCGGCTGCACTCCAGACTTTGCCCCAGAAACGTTTTGTATTGGGGAATCTAAGGTCAGCCTGACTCTGCAACCCACCCATCGTTGGGGGAGGGGGGAGTTTGAGGGACGCGAGAGCGGGTCTAGGGTAATACCCTAGGGATTCAGTACTCCTTGTATGTCACTCATTGATCCTCCTTACCGATGTAGCCGACCAGGGTTAGAGACCAAAATCCAGAAACGTTTCTTATCCCAACCTTCTGATGCTATAAAAATGGAAATTCAGAGCCGGAGAGATAGTATGGCGGGTAAAGCATTTGTCTTGCACGTGGCCGGCCAACCCTGGGTTAGATCCCCATAGAGTCCCTCAGTCCCCGCCAGGAGTGATCCCTGAGTACAGAGCCTGGAGTAAGGAGAACCCACCCTCCGATGCTATAAAGAGTGGAAATGTTCAAATCCCCGGGCTGAAGTGGGGTTAAGTGAGAGAATGCACATGGGTTCGAACCCCAGCAGCAGAAAACATTTTGTGTTTGTGGCTGGGCAGATGGCTCAGACGGCATTTGCTTTGCATGCAGATGCCCCAACTTTGATACACATGGGCTTCAAGCATCAAGCTGGGAGTAGTCCCTGAGCGCCGCCACATCACACACACACACACACACACACCCCGACCCAAAAAATAAAAAATAAATTTTAAAAAATGTACTGGGGCTGGAGCGATAGTACAGTGGGTAGGGCGTTTGCCTTGCACACAGCCAACCTGGGTTCAATCCCCAGCATCTCATATGGTCCCCCCGAGCACCGCCAGGAGTGATTACTGAGTGCAGAGCCAGGAGTAACTCCTGCGCATGGCCAAGTGTGACCCCAAAAGCCAAAAATAAATAAATTAAATAAATAAATAGCACTGTGCTCCCGTCGTTCATCGATTTGCTCCAGCGAGCACCAGTAACGTCTCCATTGTGAGACTTGTTGTTACTGTGTTTGGCATATCTAATACGCCACGGGGAGCTTGCCAGGCTCTGCCTGCGGGCGGGATACTCTCGGGAGCTTGCCGGGCTCTCCGAGAGGACTGAGGGACTCGAACCCGGGTAGGCAAACGCCCTACGTGCTGTGCTATCGCTCCAACCCAGATAAATAAATGAATGGTCACGGTCCTCCCATTGTTCATCGATTTGCTCGAGCGGGCCCAGTAACGTCTCCATCATGAGACTTGTTACTGTGTTTGGCATATCGAATACATCACTGGTAGCTTGCCAGGCTCTGCCGTGCGGGCAAGATACTCTCAGTAGCTTGCCGGGCTTTCCGAGAGGGGCGGAGGAATCAGACTCAGGTCGGCCATGTTGGCCGCTTGTAAGGCAAACGCCCTACTGCTGTGCTATTGCTCCAGCCCAAATAAATGAATAAACAAATAAACTTTTTTATTTTTGCTTTTTGGGTCACACCTGGCGATGCACAGGGGTTCCTCCTGGCTCTGCACTCAGGAGGTACTCCTGGCGGTGCTCAGGGGACCATATGGGATGCTGGGAATCGAACCTGGGTCGGCCACGTGCAAGGCAGACGCCCTACCCGCTGTGCTATCTCTCCAGCCCCAACAAATAAACTTTTAAAATTTACTTCTCACATGCCTGCCCACACCGCACATGATGTTTGATCAGTAGGGACCCTTCTGCACCCCTACGTCCTCCACTCCCCTTTCCCTGCCCTCCGCCAGCCTGGCATCTGCTCCACAAAAGAAAGGTAGTGAGCTGTAGGATGAATGAAACCCGGCACACGGAATAAGCCCCCCACCTCCATCCTGACCCCAGGCAGGGCAGGGGCTAGGCTCTTCCTCCTCTCCCAGAGCTGGTGGGATTTAAGGGCGGGCAGCGGCAGGGACCTGGCAGACTCTCTGGGCTGGAATTCATCGAGGCTGGCAGTGGCAGGAAGGGGCGGGGCGGGGAGAGCAGAGAAATCGAGCTTAAATTGAGCACTGTGCTGCTCCCTAAGAGTTACTGGACTGTGTGCAAGTTGAGTTGACCCTAACATCTTTGCGGTGGCGGGAGAGGGGGAGACTGGAACAGGACATCTGGCTCCCAGGAGAGAAAGGAGGTCCTGTTCTAACTGTTCTAAATGCTCTTTGAAGAGAACCCCAGTTTCCCCTCCTCCACCCCACCCCTACACCTTCCCTGGGTTTGTGATCAAAAACCCCTTGCCAGAGACCCCGAGACTCATGTTCCCGTTCTGTGCACCGACCGTGGGGCATCCTTAGTTGTCAGCCTTCACACCATGCTCTCCCCACCCCACCCCTGCCTGAGGAGGCGTGCATTGGGGGTGCTTTGAGGTGCCGAAGAGAAAGCAGAGGCAGGCATATAGAAGGATCAGATTTAGCAGTGGTGACCCCCCCACTTGCTTTGAAACCCACCCCCTTCCAAGAGCAGGGGTGAGCGATGAAAAAAAAAGTAGGAAGGGGTGAAGAAGGGGTCAGGTTGGAGGTCAGGGAAGATGTGTTAGAGAAATGAAGAGAGAAAACAGTCTCCCGGGCTGGCTGCTTGCGGGGACCCTGGCTCCCCGCAATGCGGCCCTAATTGAATTTCTGTGTTAACAATGGGAACAGCACAGCAGCCCCGGCCTCTCTGCCGCTCCCTGATAAGCCAGTGACCCAAAAGAGATTGGGGTCAGGAGGAGAAATTGGAAACAAACAGTCTTTTTCACTCCTGGGGACACTGGTTTGGGATGTGAGGGGACCGGGGATTGTTGGGGGGGGTTGGAGAGGGACCAGGAGCTGGAGGGGGCCTGATGGTCCTTCTGAGTTTTCAAAGGGACTGTGTTCCCCCCCCTCCGCAGGCCCCCCTTTCAGTTCCCTGAGTCTGGGGGTAAGTGTAGGCAAATAGCTGAATTTGTATCTTTCTCTTCTTTTTTTTCCTTTTTTTTTGGGGGGGTCACACCCAGCGATGCACAGGAATTATTCCTGCTTCATTCACTCAGGAATTACTGCTGGCCGTGCTGGGGGACAATATGGGATGCTGGGAAACGAACCAGGGTCGGCCGCGTGCAAGACAAACACCCTACCCACTGTGCTATCACTCCATCACTCCAGCCCCATTTTTCTTTTTTCTTTTTTTTTGATTTTGGTTTGGAGGCCACATCTGGCAGTGCTCAGGGCTTACTCCTGGCTCTGCGCTCAGGGGTCACTCCTGGTAGGCACAGGGAACCATAAGGGGTGCTGGGGATCGAACCAGGGGCATCTGCACGCCAGGCAAACGCCCTACTCACTATACTATCGCTCCAGCCCCTCATCTTCATCCTTGACAAAGTCTCGGGGCTTGTACAGTACAACAAGTAGGGCATTTGCCTGGTCTGGTGCAGGGCCATGGCAGGTAGTGCTCTGAACGGGGAGCGGCCAGCCAGGAGGGGCGTGGCTGGCGGTGCAGGGGCGTGGCTCTGTTCCCCAGGTGGAGTGGCTGCGGAATGAAGACTTGGTGGATCCCTCCCTGGACCCCAACGTGTACATCACGCGCGAGCACAGCCTAGTGGTGCGAGAGGCCCGCCTGGCGGACACAGCTGAACCCAGTTGATCCCCAGCATCCCATAGAGTCTCCCCGAACACCGCCGGGAGTTATTTCTGAGCACCCAGCCAGGAGTTACCCCTGAGCACTTCTGGCTGTGCTCAAAAACAAACAAGCAGGGCTGGAGCAATAGCACAGCGGGTAGGGCGTTTGCCTTGCACGCAGCCGACCCGGGTTCGATTCCCAGCATCCCATATGGTCCCCTGAGCACTGCCAGGGGTGATTCCTGAGTGTAGAATCAGGAGTAACCCCTGTGCATCGCCAGGTGTGACCCAAAAAGGGAAAAAAAACAAGCAGTCCCCCCCCCACACACAATCCCAATTAGTGGGTGCAGAGTGGATTTTATGCCTGCTTTCCCGGCCAGCTCTTTTTCTATAGACGAGCCCCCCACACCACCAGCCCCGTTGCTCCCCAGGGCCTGGGCACACATAGCTCAGCCCAAGAACTGCAGTGCCCCCGGAGTGTGTGTACTTTCAGTTCAGAGGACCCCCAACACCTCTGTCTGTGGCAATCTCTTGTTTTCTTACCTTGGGGTGGGTGCAAAGGGCTAGAGGTGTGTGAGGAAGTCGGTTGAGCCCCAGGTGATTGCGGTAACTCTATTGTTAATAGCTGTTCTGACATCAGTACCGTCCTTTAGCTCCAGGCTAAGGTAAGGGTCCACTCCAGCATCTACTTTGCCCAGTGGAACTGGTGGGCGGGGCAAGCAGGTGGGCGGGGTGAAGGTGGGCCGGGCAGCGTGTGCCTTCAGGGCTAGGGCGCTGACCACCCCCCTGCTCCTGCCCCACCCGCCAGGGCTGCCGGCCATGGAGGTGCGTATCAACGTGTCCAGGCAGCAGGTGGAGAAGGTGTTTGGGCTGGAGGAGTACTGGTGCCAGTGCGTGGCGTGGAGCTCGTCGGGTACCACCAAGAGTCAGAAGGCCTACATCCGCATTGCCTGTGAGTCCAGGGCCATGGGGGTAATCACGGTGGATGTGGAGTGGGGAGGAAGAAGTTCCCCTCAGAAAACCTTAAGTTCCAGCCAGATTGTTGGAGGAAGTCTAGTGGTCTGCTGCTCACACCTCTCCATCTCTGTCCCTTCAGAAGCGTAGGGCTCCTCCATCTTCTAACCCACCCACCCCCATCCCCGGCGCTTGTGGGAGTCAGACGTGTCGCTGTCCTGACGCTCACAGGGTGGAGGGGAAAAAAACCCCTTGTTCTTCTCCCCCAGATTTGCGCAAGAACTTCGAACAGGAGCCGCTGGCCAGAGAAGTGTCCCTGGAGCAAGGCATTGTGCTGGCCTGCCGGCCGCCGGAGGGCATCCCCCCCGCTGAGGTGAGGGGGCTTTGCTCGAAGGGGTGGGTGTCCGCCGGCAGAGGGACTGAGTTCCTCCTTGAGAATTTCCCGCACCCCCAGCCCAGTTGTTGGCAGAGTCTGTATCTTTCCCACGCCAGCTCCCCCGCTGCAGGGCATGTGCGGCACACAGATGTGGGCTTTGAACTCAGATGCCCTGGGCACCCGTGACTGGCTGGCACTTGGAACCTTAGCAAAGGGTCCAAAAGCATGGCAGGAGGAAGACAGGAAACCCACAAGTGGGAAACTCTGGGTTAAGCTCCAGGGAAGGACTCCCACGACTCAGGGCCTGGCCCAGGCTGATGCCCACTCCCTAAACCTTACCTGCCCTCTGGAACCCAGGCCAAGAGCAAGAGCTGAGACTGGCAGTGAGGGGGCGTGTCTAAGCGGGGCGTGGCCAGCAGCGAGGGGCGTGGTCTGGCGCAGGGGCATGGCAGGTAGTGCTTTAGGTGGGAGTGGCCAGCCGCGGAGGGCGTGGCAAGGTGCTCTGAACGGGGAGCGGCCAGCCAGGAGGGCCGTGGCTGGCGGTGCAGGGGCGTGGCTCTGTTCCCCAGGTGGAGTGGCTGCGGAATGAAGACTTGGTGGATCCCTCCCTGGACCCCAACGTGTACATCACGCGCGAGCACAGCCTGGTGGTGCGACAGGCCCGCCTGGCAGACACAGCCAACTACACCTGTGTAGCCAAGAACATCGTGGCCCGTCGCCGCAGCTCGTCGGCTGCTGTCATCGTCTATGGTGGGCTCCGAGCACTGGCGGGGCGCGAGCGGGGGCGATGGGGAACAGTATGGAGGTGACATCGCTGTGTGGCTTGGGGGGGGCGATGAAGAAGGATCGCTGAGGTTGATACAGATGGGAACAGTGGCCAGAATAATGAGGGTCTAGGAGCAGGGTCTAGGGGCGCTGGGGATATGTGGGGCTGACTTGGCTTTCTGGGGAGCAGGGAAAGATGAAGGCCCAGGATGGGACTCTGGGGAAAGTGAGGGCCGTGCCAGGTACAGGAGTGTCCCCGAGAACATCTGGATCGGAGCTGGAGGCAACCTAGGAGCTGCCACTAGGTCTGGGAGCCCCCAACGTGCTCAGCACCCCTGGCAGAAGCATGAGTGGAGTGGCTCCTGGGGTGCGTGGCACAAGCGTGGGCCCCCACACTCTGGGACCCCTCTCCCAGACCAGCCCCTGCTCCGACCTGCGTCCAGGGCCCAGTCCCCCAATGCCCTCCTGCCTGGGCCCCTCGGGGCCAGCATGGCAGCGACCCCCGCTGCCTGACCCCGGCCCTTCTCTGTCCGGCCAGTGAACGGTGGGTGGTCTACGTGGACGGAGTGGTCCGTCTGCAGTGCCAGCTGTGGGCGCGGCTGGCAGAAACGGAGCCGGAGCTGCACCAACCCGGCGCCTCTCAACGGGGGCGCCTTCTGTGAGGGGCAGAATGTCCAGAAAACAGCCTGCGCCACGCTGTGCCCAGGTATCAGTGGCCGCCACCGCCCGCCTCGCTCCTCACCGCGCCATCTCCGTGCCCGGCTCCATCTGCCCCCCATGGCTCCATCCCACCCGCCCGTCTGCCTGCCCGCTGGGCCAGGCTCCGTCTGAAGCCGGGACCAGGGTTTCTATGGGACAAGAGGTGGGGCTGGGTCGCCGCGGTTGAGATTCAGTAACCAGGCAGGGGTAGGGCTGAGCAGGGGTGCAGGGATCTGGGAGAACCCCCCGGGAGGGGTGGGGGCGTCCATGCGCTCACACACTGCAGCGGGCTGGGGCGCCCCTGGGGTCAGTCTAAGTCTGGAGGCCAGGGCTCATCCCGCCTCCTCCCATCAGCATGCATCACCTACAGGCAGCCCGGACCCCCCGCGCCACATCCTGGGACAGCGGGGCGAACTCGGCAGAGGGTTGGGGGGGCGGCGACCTGGACTGAACCCCCCCAACCGACGATGCCATCCCTGACCTTCATCCCGTGTGTCTCGCATCTAGTGGACGGCAGCTGGAGCACGTGGAGCAAGTGGTCGGCCTGCGGGCTGGATTGCACGCACTGGCGGAGTCGCGAGTGCTCGGACCCAGCGCCCCGCAATGGCGGCGAGGAATGTCGGGGTGCAGACCTGGATACCCGCAATTGTACCAGCGACCTCTGCGTGCACAGTTAGTCCCCGGTACCCCCACAGGGTGGGCATTCTTACAGGATTAGCTGCGGGGTGATTGGACCATCTCTCCAGAGCTCCCCATATCCAGGGACACCCCAATACCTACCAGGCGTCCCCGGAAACATGACAAAGCCCAGGCACCTCCAGAGCCCCACTCCTCTGCCCCCCCTCCCCCACTCCCCGTCCCCCAAATGCACCAGCGAATCCTGGGAGGGTTCCAGATTGGGGAGGCCTGTTAATTACAAAGCCATAACTAACAATTAAAGATCTCTGTTGGATTTTTTTTTTCCCCTCCGGAGCACACCCTCCCCCATGCTTTCAATTAAAAACCTAATTATCTGTGTCAATTCCTTTCTGATGGACATTTCTTTCCTTCTGCAAAGGCCCAGCTCTAAACCAATATAACGCTAGGGGCCGGAGCAATAGTCCAGCGGGTAAGGCGCTTGCCTTGCATGCGGTCAACCTGGGTTCGATTCCCTAGTACCACGTAGGGTTCCCTGAGGCCCACCAGATGTGATCCCTGAAAACAGCCATGAGTAAGCCCTGAGCACTGCCAGGTGTGGCTGCAAAACAAAAACAAACCCAAAAATGGATAATGCTCTCTCTAGGGGGTTAATCACTTTATCCCCAGCCCTGGAACAAACACACACCGAGGGTCCTGCTCCTAGTTTAGAGGGGGACAGAAATCAGAGGGGCAGACACCCCCACTCCCCTCACCCTGCCTCCAAACACACACCTTTGCCGAACCTAGGAGGGCAGAAAATTATTTATTTTTGCTTTTTGGGTCACACCCAGTGACGCACAGGGGGTCACTCCTGACTCTGCACTCAATAATTAAACCTGGCGGTGCTCAGGGAACCATAGGGGATGCTGGGAATCGAACCCGGGCCAAACCGCGTGCAAGGCAAACGCCCTACCTGCTGTGCTATCACTCCAGCCCCGGTGGGCAGAATCTTGAAACCCTGCATGAGACCACCAACCACAGAAAGGGGGCTTTTTCCCCCATCCCTATGATCTGCCAGCAAACAGAGTTTGCTTTTTGGGAATTTACGGGGCAAACCCAGTGGTGCTCAGGGATCACTCCTAGAGGGGCTCAGGAGACCCTCTAGGGTGCCAGGACTGGAACCCCGGTGAGCTGCGTGCAAGGCCAGCGCCCTACTCACTGCTAGGAGTCACCCAGCAAGGGGGTAGCCGGTAGGTGAAAGACTTAAGCAGCTGCCACCCTGGTCCTCAGCCTGCTGCCCCACCTCCCTCTCCCGCAGCTGCCTCCGGCCCCGAGGACGTGGCTCTCTATGTGGGCCTGATCGCCGTGGCCGTGTGCCTGCTGCTGCTACTGCTGGTTCTGGTCCTTGTTTACTGCCGGAAGAAGGAGGGGCTGGACTCAGACGTGGCCGACTCGTCCATCCTCACTTCCGGCTTCCAGCCTGTCAGTATCAAACCCAGCAAAGCAGGTGGGATGTCCCGGAAGTTCCGCCCCTCTGACACCACCACCGCTCCCCACCTTCCCCGCCCCTTTTCTGCCAAGGGCCGACGTGTCTTAAGTCTGTCTCTGTCCTTGCAGACAATCCTCATCTGCTCACCATCCAGCCAGACCTCAGCACCACCACTACTACCTACCAGGGAAGTCTGTGTTCCCGGCAAGACGGGCCTGGTACCAAATTCCAGCTCACCAATGGGCACCTGCTCAGCCCGCTGGGGACAGGCCGCCACACTCTGCACCTCAGCTCCCCAGCCTCGGAGGCGGAGGACTTGGTGTCTCGCCTGTCAGCTCAGAATTTCTTCCGATCCCTGCCTCGTGGCACCAGCAACATGGCCTATGGCACCTTCAACTTCCTCGGGGGCCGGCTGATGATTCCAAACACAGGTGGGAAGGACCCCAGAGCATGTCCCCCTGCCTACGTACAAGGAAATATTTGGTTTTTTTTTTTTTTTTGCTATTTGGGTCACATCTGGCGATGCATAAGGGTTACTCCTGGCTTTGCACTCAGGAGTTACTCCTGGACTCCTGGCGGTACTCAGCAGACCCTATGGGATGCTGGGAATCGAACCCGGGTCAGCCGCGTGCAAGGCAAACGCCCCACCTGCTGTGCTATCTCTCCAGCCCCTGGGTGTTGTTGTTGAGCCACACCCAGTGATGCTCAGGGGTTACTCCTGACTCTGCACTCAGGGATCACTCCTGGTGGTGTTCAGAGAACCCTGTGGGATGCCAGGGATTGAACCTGGGTCAGCCTCATGCAAGGCAAGCTCCTTATCCAATGAGCTGTTGCTTTGCTTGGTACTACGGAGCTTGAAGAGCAAGCCCCACAGCCTAGCTTTGTGAAGCAGAGAGAAGCTCCACACCCAACACACGCGCACGCACACACACACACACACACACACACACACACACCGTTTCTCTTGTGTTGCTCAGCCCCGCAGGCGAAGAAAGGGGATCGAGATGGAGAGAATGGTGAGCCAGCCCATGGCAGAGCCCTGGGTTCAGTTGCTGGGAAGGATGAACGGTTTGGAAAAGGGGGCCTTCTCCACCTCTCAGAAAACCCGCAGAAACAACATAGACGCCTTTTGTTCTTTGATCCTCTCGGGTGCCCTTTCCTGGCGGTTGTTTGGATGCTTGGGATTGCACATGCTGTGGGGTTCACACATGCTCAATAGGGGAGCTCATCGTGTTAATGGGGGGGCGCTTACACATGCACACTAGGGGGCGCTGTGGAGCTCAAGGGGGCCGTTGCAGTGCTTCACATGTGCTGAGTTTCTCACTAGGCGTCATGCTCCTGGCACCGTGCTCACGCACCTCTCTAATTGCAGTGCTCCTACACACTTGGCTGTGCATCAGAGGCTGCACTCTGGAGGTGCGAGAGGCCCCAGAGAGCAGCATTGCCAGCAAGGGGAACCGCACTGGGTGAAGGGCGGACAGTACTGGTACCGAACTCCTGGTCTCGTGCTTGCTGAGCAGATGCCTTTAGCTGCCGCTCCAGGCCTCAGGAGCCCTCGGAACTCCCTCTGGAGCACCCTTGCCCACCATCTCACCCACCCCTTGGCTTCCCTCCTGCAGATCTTACTCCCCCTCCTCCCTCAGCAGGGAGTGACAGCCCCCACACCCAGCCATCTCCTGGGCAGCGCCATCTGGCTGTCTCGCAGCCCCTCAGCCTCCTCCTGCCCCGAACAGCGCTGTCTCCCGCCCTCCCCCACAACCTCCTCTGCGTCCCCACTTTCCCCACCTCAGGGATTGAGCCCTTGCACTGCTCAAGCCAGAGGCTGGGGGGCCACCTTGACCTCCAGCTCCTCTTCTTTCTCCTGTTCGCCTCTACAATCCCCTCCTGGTTCCTCCTTAAGGACTCCCGCTCCCCCCACGGCCCCTCTCCCTACTCCTGCTTCTGACTCCGCCTCATCCTCCTCACTGTCCCATGCTGCACCCCACAAAGTTAGACCGGGCTTCTCACGGCTTTTGCAGGAGCCCACGTCACTGAGCCATGTGACCAGATTACACCCCAACCTCAGTCCGCTGCCTGCAGTGACCTTGTCTTTCCTGCACATGGCAGCAGCCCTCCAAACACACACACACACACACACACACACACGCACGCACACACACACACAAAGACCCTTTGCCTCCTGGCTCCCCATTGTTTCATCAGCTCCTAGGGGCCTTGATCTGGAGACTTAGCTAGTCAGTGGTCAGCTTAGCTAGTCAGCTTCCCTGACTACTTTCCCTTTTTCTTCCCTACTGGGGTGAAAACTTCATGACGTTTCCACTCATTTCTCTGAGTCATCAGCATTTGCAATATGTGAACAAATTGTTTGTTAGCTTATTTGAGGGCCGGAGCAATAGCACAGCTGGTAGGGCATTTGCCTTACACACGGCCGACCCGAGTTCGATTCCTCCGCCCCTCTCAGAGTGCCCGGCAAGCTACCAAGAGTATCCTGCCCGCATGGCAGAGCCTGGCAAGCTACCCGTGATGTATTCGATATGCCAAAAACAGTAATAAGTCTCACAATGGAGATATTACTGGTGCCCGCTCGAGCAAATCGATGAACAATGGGAGGACAGTGCTACAGTGTTTGAGGGTCATACCTGGCAGTGCTCAGGGACTCTATGGAATGCTGGGGATAAAACCCCAGTCTGGGGGCTGGAGCAATAGCACAGTGGGTAGGGCGTTTTCCTTGCAAGCGGCCAACCCGGGTTCGATTCCCAGCATCCCATATGGTCCCCTGAACACCGCCAGGGGTAATTCTTGAATGCAGAGCCAGGAGTAACCCCTGTGGTGCATCGCGTGACCCAAAAAGCAAAAAAGGAAAAAGAAAGAAAGAAAGATATTTGGGAGCTTCAGGCCAAGCACTTTGAAACACAGGTCAGGATGGGCTGGCAAGTGCAAACGTTTAAGGCACTTGCCTGACACACATTCGACCCCACTTACTGCCAGGGGCCACTCCTGAGCACAGAGCCAGGGATAACTACTGAGCACCACAGGTTATGACTCCAAAACCTTCAAATAAAACCACTAAAATATCAATCAATGCAAGCCAGAGAACTGAATTTTATAGAGGAGGTGGGCAGGATGTTAGCAGGCCTGGGATGAACAGAGCCAGGTACAGGTTAGGGGTATGGGGGACTAGAGTTTTCTGACAGCTCTTAGGATCACCCTGTCTGTATGTTTTTAGGGTTTTCATTTTTGACCCACACCCTGCAGTGCTCATGGCTTAGTCCTGACTCTGCACTCAGGGATCCCTCCTGGCGGGCTTAGGGAGCCATATGGGGGTACTGGGGCTCGAACTGGGGTCAGCCATGTGCAAGGCAAGCACCTACCTACCCTACCTGCTGTACTTTTTTTTTTTTTTTGCTACACTTGTGATGCTCAGGATTTACTCCAGCTCTCTGCTTAGGGATCATTCCTGGAGATACTATGGGGATCCTAAAGTGCAAGGGATCGAACCCATGTCGGCTGCGTGTAAGACACTGCACTATCACTCTGGCCCCTGGGGTCACTTTTGACTCCGTTTCAAGCCCGTGTGGCTGGGGAGCAGGAATCGCCACTTCTCTCTCCAGCTTGGCGGGCTCCTGCCCATTATCAGAGACTCCTAGCAGGTCATCAGAAAAATGGATGCTCAGTAACCCAGGGGCTTCCCGCTTCTCTGTCGCAGGCATCAGCCTCCTCATCCCCCCTGACGCCATCCCCCGGGGGAAGATCTACGAAGTTTACCTCACACTGCACAAGCCGGAGGACGTGAGGTGTGGGCGCGCACGCTGGGGGGGTGGGGCTCCCCGCTCGCGGTCACCCTGCCCATCCTCCACCCCAGGTGTCAGGATTCCCCCCCCCCCCCGTTCCCAGGAGGACCCACTGACGCCTTGCCCCCCCCACCCGCCCTTCCCCACTTGAGGTTGCCCCTAGCCGGCTGTCAGACCCTGCTGAGCCCCATCGTTAGCTGCGGGCCCCCCGGGGTGCTGCTCACAAGACCCGTCATCCTCACCATGGACCACTGTGGGGAGCCGGGCCCCGACAGCTGGAGTCTGCGCCTCAAAAAGCAGTCCTGTGAAGGCAGCTGGGAGGTGAGTGCCCAGGTACCCCTAGTGGCTCTCAGCTGGGGGATCTGTGTGTACACTCCATCTGGGAGTCTGTGGGTGCACCCCCATTATTATGGGGCTCAACTGAAGGTTTTGTGTGACCCCCCTAGCCAGGGGCTCAGTTGGCGTCTGCGTGTACCCCCCACCCTAGCATGGGGCTCAGCCGCAATTATCCCTCCTTCCCAGTCTCCGGCTGCCCCTCCCAGCCGGGAGGGGGCCTGCCCACTGAGTTCTGGGGTCCTGCCCGCAGGATGTACTGCATCTGGGTGAGGAGTCGCCCTCCCATCTCTACTACTGCCAGCTGGACGCAGGCTCCTGCTACGTGTTCACGGAGCAGCTGGGCCGCTTCGCGCTGGTGGGTGAGGCCCTGAGCGTGGCCGCCTCCAAGCGCCTCAAGCTGCTCCTGTTCGCCCCGGTGGCCTGCACGTCCCTGGAGTACACCATCCGCGTCTACTGCCTGCACGACACCCATGATGCCCTCAAGGTACCCGAGCACCTCTGCCTAGCTGGCCAAGGGGAAATCGATCCCTCTCCGAACCCCCGGTGGGGTGCGGAGCCAGTGGGAGGTGGGGGGCGGTGCCATCTCCGCTGATTGTCGGTGCTGCAGGAGGTGGTGCAGCTGGAGAAGCAGCTGGGAGGTCAGCTGATCCAGGAGCCCCGCATCCTGCACTTCAAGGACAGCTACCACAACCTGCGTCTCTCGGTGCACGACGTGCCCAGCTCCCTCTGGAAGAGCAAGCTTCTGGTCAGTTACCAGGTGAGATCTCGCAAAGTGCCTGCAGGGGGCGCGCCTGGAACTGCCCGGTGCACTGGCCCCGCCCCGCGCTGGCCCCGCCCCTCAGCGGCCCCGCCCACTGTGCTGCCCCTGCCTCTCTAATGCACCACCCTCCGCTGACCACGCCCTTTGAGGCCCCGCCCCCCCTGCTTGCTGACAAGAGGTGAGCCTTGAAGCCCCTGTGCCTGCTGACCCACCCTCTGCGCTGCCCCCGACCCTCCCCACCCCTCCGCAGGAGATTCCCTTCTACCACATCTGGAATGGCACGCAGCAGTACCTGCACTGCACTTTCGCCCTGGAGCGCGCCAGCCCCAGCACCAGCGACCTAGCCTGCAAGGTGTGGGTGTGGCAGGTGGAGGGCGAAGGGCAGAGCTTCAACATTAACATCAATATAACCAAGGTGGGCAGCAGCGGAAGTCGGCCCTGCTCGGTCCCCACCCCCCCACCCCCACCACCCCACCCCCGCCTCAAGGTCTCCGGCTGGATTGAGGCAGAGGCAGAGATGAACGGAGGGACATGGGGACCACATGGGCAGAGTGGGAAATATGGAGCAACCCCTCACCCCGGCAGGGGTTGGGGGGAGAAGATAGTAGGAAATGGGGACATCCCAGGGAGATTTCGAGCTGGACCTGGAAGATGGAGTATGACAGGCGGGTAGGGGAGCCAGGGATATGGTTCACGTGGTAGAGCACACTCCCGGCACGTGTGAGACCCTGGGTCTGAGTGCTGATGTCTCCCAGCACCTGGTGATGGCCTCTGCTTAAAAGGCCAGAGAGGCTTTGTAGCATTTTCAGCGGTTTCATGACAAACAATACAAAATATATTATTTAGGTTCTGCTTTGGGGCGGGGGGCTGGGGTTTGGAATGGAAGCATCCAAAATATGGTGGTAGAAAGATGTAGCGGTGGTGGGATTAGTGTTTGAATATTAAATGGAATCAAATATTATGAACTACTTTATAAAATTTTTTAAAAACAATTTTTAAGACCAGAGAGGGGTTAGGGCAATGCGAGAGGCCCCAGAGTACCGCCCTATATCAGAGGCGGGCAGCATTGGGCCTGGTGGGGGGAAAGTTCTAAACTAACGGACACCTGGCTCCTTCCTGCTCCCAGGACACGAGATACACAGAGCTGCTGGCTCTGGAGAGTGAAGGGGGGGTCCCCGCCCTCGTGGGCCCCAGTGCCTTCAAGATTCCCTTCCTCATTCGGCAAAAGATCATTACCAGCCTCGACCCACCATGTAGCCGGAGCGCCGACTGGCGGACTCTGGCGCAGAAACTGCACCTGGACAGGTGGGTGGGAGGTGGGATGGGGCGGGGCCTGCAGCTCTGGGGGCGGGGTCTGTCGTGAGGGGCGGGGGCTGTAGGTCCGGGGGCGGGGCCTGCAGGATAGGAAGTGGGGGTAGGTCAGGACACTGCAGACCAGAGGCGAGGCCCACAAGTCTGGGGTTGGGGCCTGCAGAATGGGAAATGGGGCAGGCCAGGACACCCTGTGGGGGCTCCCCCAGCTGCGACAGGGGCATCCCGTGCACTGAGCGAGGAGAGACCCTTTCCTGGGGAGAAGGGAAGGGGGTGCACCCTCCAGGGGCGGGACAGACCTCTCACGGGCTCCCCGCTTCCACCCCTACAGCCATCTCAGCTTCTTCGCCTCCAAGCCCAGCCCCACAGCCATGATCTTGAACTTGTGGGAGGCCCGACACTTCCCCAACGGCAACCTCAGCCAGCTGGCCGCCGCCGTGGCCGGTCTGGGCCAGCCCGACTCGGGCCTCTTCACCGTATCGGAGGCCGAGTGCTGAGCCGGCCGGGTCACACCCACGCCGGCGCCTACACTTCACCAGCTTTGGCACCCACCAGGGACAGACAAGCCACCGGGGATGGGGGCGAGAGGCCCCCCACCCCGGCCGAGCTGCGCGGACAGGACCCTCGGGAGGACGCGGTCCCGCCCCCACCTCGCCCACACTCACGACCTTCCTCGGCCTGGCCACCTCCTCTCCAGGAGGGTCCCGGGGCCAGCGTCGGAACCTTCTGTGTGTGTGTGTCTGCCTGTGCCATGCTACCTCCCCTCTTGCCCCTGGCCAGGGGGCCACATCCACGGCCATGCACGCCCACGCGGGGCTAGGGATGTGCCCTTCCCCCCACCGGGGGGGGCTCCCACGGAGCTGGATCTTATGCAAACATTTTGGTGCCTGCGGGGAGGGGGGCCCCAGTGGAGAGAAGGCCACTTCCCAGGCTCCAGGACTGAGGGCCACAGACGGATCAGGGGGCAGCCCCTGGGTTCAGGCACATGACCACCACGGGGGGCACGTTCCCCTGCATGTCTGTGTGCTCTTTACACCCATGTCACCCCCATCGCCCGGACCCCCCGGGACACACAGACACACGCATCTCACGCTGGTCACCCGGCTGCCCCTCAACGTGTCTCACGCCTGGTGTGGTTCTCCATTGGCCCTATGCTGCCCGCTTCTCCCACCCACCCACCCAGGGGTCGCCGGCTCCCACCACTCCTTTCCCGTCCCCACCCTCCCCCGGCCCCCAGCTGCGTGGAGCTGCGCCCCCTAGGGGGCGTGTGATTATGCAACAGTGAGTCCCGGGGCTGACCAGGGCGAGTGTGCGTGCTGTGTCGTGCCCGTGGCCAGGGCAGCCGCTGCCCCTCCTCCCCCCGCTCGGGAGGGTGGGGGGGAACCTGGCGTGTGGAGGTGGCGCCCCGACTCAGTCTTTAAGTGCCCTTTGGCGCACTTACACTTGGCCTTATGTTCACAGCCTTGCCGGCTGCCGGGGCGCGTAGGGATTTTAGTGGACGTGAATGTAAATAAATTATATATATATATTGCTAACCCGGTGCTCCCTCTCTGGGGGGTAGGGAGGAGGAAGTCTGCGGGGGGGTTCAAGGTAAACTGGGGATCAAGGTGGAGATCCTGGTTCCACGTGCAGCTGCTTCCTGGCGATTTCTTCAGGCCCGGGCGGTCGAGGCAAGGCGGCAGGCGACAGCAGTGACCAGGGCCGCCCCTTTGCCAGACCCGTCTTCCGATTGCAGGAAAGTGACTTGGCAGCGAGGTGCCAGCTCGCGCACGGTGGCCGCCACCAGGCTGGAGAAGCTACGAGGGAGAAAGGGGAGGCCTGGGTCCAATGCTCATCCCAGGTGTGCCCCCCGTCTTTGCTCCTGGCCGTGCCTGCCCTGCCCGATCAGCACCCAGACTCACTGGGGGTGCATCTTGTACAGGGTCCCGTCCACGCCCACCGACACGGCCAGCCTGTCCAGGCCACGGTTCTCACGGATCTTCTCCACCACGGCGGCTACGCCGGCCCCGCAGAGCTGGGCGGCCCGCTGAGACACAGCCTGACACACCTCGAGCACCATCAGGGCGTCATCGGAGGTCAGGTCCAGCCCCAGGTCCTCCAGGATGGAGCGGACCTGTCTCAGGGCCAAGCTGTCGCTGGGGCCAGAAGGGAGGGGCGTTCAGAGGGGCGGGGTCTACGTCAGTTCCCGCGAGACCTGGCTCCACCCACCAGCTTCCCACTTGCTCCACCCACCAGCTTCCCACACCCAGGGCACAGAGACCCGAACTGGTAGAGATAGCAGAACCGGTAAGCACCTTGCGCATGACGTCACCTGAGTTCGATCCCAACAGCACATATAGTGCATCCAAGTATTGCCAGGGAGTGATCCCTGAGCACAGAACCAGGAGGGAGCCCTAAGCACAGTTGGGTTATCCCCTTCCAAAAACAAAAAGTGCACCCAGAAAGGCTCTTTGGGGCACAAAAGGGGACAATACATCTTTCTTTGGTGGGTGGTGGGGGGCTACAGCTGGCGCTGCTCAGAGACCCTGCAGTGTCTGGAATTGAACCCAGGGCTTCCCCCACGCAAAAAGCCTGCAATGCAGCCTTTGATCTAAGCACGGCAGTGAGGCACCTTTCAATCTCCGAGAGAAACTGGGTCTTGAAAATGTCTCGGGCCTGAAGGCGCTGGGTCTCCCGGCCCCGGAAGAGAACCCCAAGGCTGGTTAAATGCAGGAGGATGTGGCGGACGATCTCCCCCAGGTACATGCCGCTGATCATCTTCTCAAACCTGCGAGGAGGGCAAGTGTGTGTGTGTGTGTGTGTGTGTGTGTGTGTGTGTGTGTGTGTATGTATGTGTGTGGTAAGAGCTCACCCCTCAACCCCCCTCCACCACCGCCAGCGGCCCAGCAGTGCTCCGCAAGCCCCCAGGTGTGTGTGTGTGTGTGTGTGTGTGCATGGAGTAAGAGCTCACCCCTCAACCCCCCCTCCCACCGCCCCCACCCCCTCTATCGGCCCAGCACAGCCCCGTAAGCCCCCAGGGGTGAGCTGGGACCTCTGCTTGCCGGGGTTGATGGAGGCCTGGTCCACGTCCGCGTCGAAGCGGGTGCTGAGCGCGTCCAGGGACCCATCATCCCCAAAGGCGCCCCATTCCATATTAATGCACATGTGGCCCGAGTTCCCGAAGGCGCCCGCCACGTTCTGAAGTTCTTCCATATAACAAACATTGGTGCCCGTCCCTGCAGATGGCAGTGGAAGTCCGTTAGGGATGCGGGGAGTAACGCATGCCACACCAAGATGGCAAAGTTGGGGCACGTTCCCGACCACTCTGTCTCCCTCCAGGCCTTTGCTTTCCCGTTCATAGGTGCTTCACCCGCCCTGACCCATAGGGGGCGCTGAGAAGAACCCGCCCCTCAGTCCTGCCCAGGCAGTTGTGTTCAGGTCTCCCACTGTCAGCGGGGCCAGCCCCAAGTCTCCAGTCAAAGCAAAGGCTCGGGATATCTCTCTGGGGATACCAGGGCCCCCAAATGGCCAGAGGATGCCTGATGAGCGGGCCACACTACTTCTGCATCTGTGCCCAGTTTGAAGCAGAGAAGGGGACCAGAGTGGGAACTGAGGGACCGGAGCGATAGTACAGCGGGTAGGAAGTTTGCCTTGCACGTGGCCGACCCAGGTTCAATCCCCGGCATCCCCCATGCACTGCCAGGAGTAATTACTGAGTGCAGAGCCAGACCCCTGAGCATCACTGGATGTGATTAAAAAAAAAAAACAGTGGGAACTGGAGTCCATCACATCCTCTCCTTCCAAGCCTAGTTTCTTTTCAATTTTTTCTCTTCTTTTTTCACCCTTTTTTTGTTACACCTCACTGTGATCAGGGACGACTCCTGACTCTGTGCCCCAGAATCACTCTGGGTGCGGCTGGAGTGATAGTACAGCGGGTAGGGTGTTTGCCTTGCACGCGGCCAACCCGGGTTCAATTCCCAGCATCCCATATGGTCCCCTGAGCACCATCAGGAGTGCCAGGTGTGACCCAAAAAGAAAAAAAAGAACATAATCACTCTTGGCAGGGCATGCGGGACCATATGGGCTGCCAGGGAATAACCCTGGTCAGCTGTGTACAAGGTAAGCACCTTACCCGATATAACAGCTCTTTGGACTCTTAAATAAATTATTTTTACAACTTACCCTCCTATGGCACCCCCCTTTTTTCCTTATTTTTTGGGGGTCACACCCAGTGATGCTCAGGGGTTACTCCTGGTTCTGCACTCAGGAATTACTCCTGGCGGTGCTCAGGGGACCATATGGAATACCAGGAATTGAACCTGGGTCAGCCACATGCAAGGCAAACGCCCTACCCACTGTGCTATCACTCCAGCCCGTTTTTTTTTTTGTTTGTTTTCAGGTCACACCTGGCTATGCTCAGGGATCACCCCTGGCATGCTTGGGAGACCACACGGGACGCCAGGAATTGAAAACAGTTTGGCCCCGTGTAAGGCTAGCATCCTACCCACTGTACTATCCCTCTGGCCCTTGACTCCCTTATTTTCTCAGCTTCATTGCCCTTGGGAGTTGCATTGAATTCAGCGCTCCACTGTCTGTACTGGAGCTGAGCTCAGTCCCTGGACCCTGGAGGGAAAAGCAGGGAACTCCCTCCCTCAGCTCCCTCCCTCCTCCCCTTTGCCCTGCCCCAACTGGCAACTGAGGGGTACTTCATAGAAGGATCTGGTACTTTTTTTTTTTTTTTGCTTTTTGGGTCACACCCGGTGATGCTCTGGGGTTACTCCTGACTCTGCACTCAGGAATTACTACTGGCAGTGCTTGGGGGACCATTAGGGATGCCAGGGATTGAACTCGGGTCGGCCGCATGCAAAACAAATGCCCTACCCGCTGTACTATTGCTCCCACCCCGGATCTGGTACTATTCCCCACTTCCTATACTCAGGAGCCCTGGAGACATTCTCTCAATTGCCTCCAATAAACAGATCCTTTAGGCCAGAGCAATAGTACAATGGAGAGGGTGCTTGCCTTGCATGCTGCTGACCCACATTCCATCTCTGGCACCCCATAGGGTCCGAGCCCCCCAAGAGTGATCCCTGAACACAGATTCAGGAGCTCTGTCAGGTAGAGCCCCTGATCCAAACCAACAACTGAAAAATCAGACTCTTCTTAGAAGGTGCACGATTTTAGAGGAGATCAAGGGGCTGGTAAGTTCTACAAGGTCATTGTGTGGCTGGAAAATTACCCAAGGTCGTGGCTTTGCCCATGGTGACCCTATCTAGTATTTCCGCCCAACTCTCAGCTCTCTGTCTCCCCAACCCCGGTTCATTCCGCAGCTGGCTCAGAACAGAATGACTATAAAACCATCGCTAAGCTGTGTTCCAGGGCACCCCCTGCCCACAACCAATGCTATTGTGTTTCCAAGGACTCCCCTGGGTCAGAGCAGAGGTTACGGATTTCACAGGAGACATTTGGGGCACAAAAGAGCAGGACCCTCCTCACCGACAATGAGGCCAACCTCGCAGCGAGGGTCCTCGTAGCCGCAGGACATCATGGTCCCCACTGTGTCATTGACAATGGCGACCACATTCAGCTCCACTCCCTGTGCACAAAAGGACGCGCTGTTCGGTTGCTAGGCAACGTGGTCGCCACGGCAACTGGCGCTGGACCCAGAGGTCTAGAGCTGCAGAGGCCTCCCCCACCCCCATTGGGAAGCAGGAGTCGCTTTGCTCCCCCTCCCCCCGCCGATGAAGTACGCCCCCCCTCCCTCCCCAACCTTCACTGGAAGCTGCAACTTACCTGTCTGCGTCCTATGGCTTCCCGCAGTAGACGCACCACATCGTGGCCCTCACAGTCTGAAGCCTTAAAACCCTTGGTCCAGTTCAGGAGGATGCCCTGCGGTATGGGTGCAAGGGAGAGGAGGGGATGGGAACCTCCCACTGCCCCTTAAAGCTGACATCCCTTTCTTTCTTTCCTTTTTGGTTTTGGGGCCATATCTGACGATGCTCAAGGGCTTACTCCTGCCTCTGCACTCAGGGATCACTCCTGGTGGGATTCGGGGGATCTATTGGGATGTCAGGAATAGAACCCGGGTCTGCCACATGCAAAGCAAACGCCCTCTCTGCTGTGCTATCGCTCTGGCCCAGCCAAAAGACTTTGAAAAGTTCCTTTGAGAGGCAGCAACAGGCTTCTGCTGGTCTAGTATCCAGCGCTTGGGAGATACTGTAGCACCTCCACAGGCCATCCTGCTGGGTGCCCATCGAATCGACCCCCCCTATGACCCAACCTCACAACCTCCAGGCTGACCCACTGCCTGTGGGCACACCAGCTCTGGGAAAAAACGGATGGGCCTTTGCCTGTCGTGGCTTGGGGCCATATCCAACCGTGCTCTGGGGCTATTTCTGGCGCTGTGCTCAAGAATCATTCCTGGTGAGGCATGGGAGACACTGGGATGCGCAGGATCAAACCAGAGCTGGTCATGTGCAAAGCAAGTCACCTAATCCCTGTAGAGTCTCCCTGCTGCCAACCTAGCACCGTGATGTCCCCCTTCTGACCCCCTAAAATGCATGCCAGTTGTAGGATTCAGGGCTGACCCTTTCTAGAGCCCCAGCTTTACCTGGTCCAGGCCCAGCTGCCTGCAGGGGAAGGAAAAAGTGAAACCCAGCGGGAGGCTCTGCCCACTCAGGCCCCACTGCTGCTGAAAGTCCACGATGCAGTCAACGATGTGGTCGAAGAGCTGTGGGAGGTGGGCATATGAGGGAAGGGCTCCCCGCCGGTCCTTCCCCATCCCCCAGTCCCCACCCCAGGTCCAGGCTCCCTGTAGTACCTGCTGTCCTGAGCCCTGGGCCACACACTCCGGGATGGAATAGACCTCATTGGTGATCCGAACGCTCCCCGCTGCCAGGCGCACCAGGAGGACCCGGAAGTGGGTACCCCCAAGGTCCAGGGCCAGGAAGTCCCCACGCTCTGTGGAACAGTGGTCTGGCTGGTAAGGCAGAGCTGGTGGAGCAGCCCAGCCCATACCAGCCCCCAGCTCACGCTGCGCCGCCAGATGGGACCGTGTTCTAAGTTGTGTCCCAGCCCTCATCACGGCCCCAGCTGTGGCCCAGCCCGGGCCACGCCCTAGCCCTGGCCACGCCCCCATCTTAGGCCCAGCCCATGCCACGGCCTCAGCCGTGACCACGCCCCAAGCCCGGGCCCCACCTTCACCTAGACCACGCCCCCAGTCCGAGCCACGCCCCCCAGTTTATATTACTCTCGGCCATAACCACGCCCCCAAACCCGGACCACACCTCCATGCTGGTCACGCCCCCAGACCGAGCCACGCCCCTTATAGCCCAACAAACCCCACCCACTGGTCCTCACCGCTGCCATCAGGTGTGGCCCTGACGTAAGTGGGGAGCATGCGGAGGGAGGAGGCCTTCCCTTGGAGCCCCCTGACCATGGCCTCGCGCATCTGCGCCTGCACAGCTGCCAGCTGCTCTCGATTCAGCTGGAAAGGTGCCAGGGTGGAGGCCAGCAGACTCCGGTGGGCGGCCAGGCGGGCAGCCACCGCCGTCACCATCGCCACCCCCTGGCCGCCGCCGTCCAGAGAGCGGTGGAAAGAGACATCGCACTCGGGGACCAGGAGCCCCACGGTCTCCTGCAGGATCCGGAGGAAGCTAGGAGGAGAGACAGAGCAGACAGCACCTGGGCTCGCCGCCAGTTCTGGCCTGCATGGCAGGCTAACCCCCTGGGTCCCAGCCCTTTCCTTCGAAATTGCTTTCTACCTGGCATATCTGCCCAGCTTCCAAGAAAAGAACCCTACCAGGGGTCCCTGCTGCACCACACCTCCAGAGCTGTGTCAACAACGCCACCCACGATCCTGAGTCTTTTTTTTTTTTTGGCGGGGGGGGGGTGCGCACCCAGCAATGCTCAGTCGTTACTCCTGTCTCTGCACTCAGGAATTATTCCTGGCAGTTCTCCAAGGGACCATATGGGGTTCTGGGATGGAACCCGGGTCAGTCATGTGCAAAGCAAGCACCCTACTGGCTGTCCCATCTCTCCAGCCCCAATCCCTGGCTTTTTTTTTTTGCTTTTTGGGGTTACACCTGGCGATGCACAGGGGATCCTCCTGGCTCTGCACTCAGGAATTACCCTTGGCGGTGCTCGGGATGCTGGGAATCAAACCTGGGTCAGCCGTGTGCAAGGCAAACGCCCTACCCGCTGTGCTATCACTCCAGCCCCCCAATCTCTGACTTTTTGAAGGCGGGCACACCTGGTGATGCTCTGGAACTACCGAGCTCCGTGCTTGGGGTCCATGTGAGGCCAGGGCTGGAACCCAAGATTCTCACAGGCGAAACCCCATAATATTCCAGTCCTTTGAACGTCTCCCCAGGACGGCTCCCTAACCCTTCCCACTACCTGGGCAGTTGCTCGAACACTCGGCCTCCCGTGGCTACGGCGAGCTGGAGGCTCGGCTGCTCGCGGCTGTGCTGGAGGCGGGAGAGGACAGCGGCGAGGGCTGCGGCGCAGAGCCGGGCCGCCCGCGCGCACACCACCGCACACACGCGCTGCACCCGCGACGCATCCGCCGCTCCCACGCTCAGGCCCAAGCGCTGCAGGACGGCGCGCACGCGGGGCTCCCCTGCCGAGGGGCTGCGGGGGGAGAAGGCTCAGTGCAGGGTTCCATCCAAGTAGCCCCCAGCCCCACACTGGGGACTGAGCTGCCAAGACCCATCCACTGTCCCTCCCAAGCCCCCATACTCCTGTTTCTCCTACTTACGCCTCCATCTCCGCCAAGTCCTCCAGCCGGAAGCTGCCGAGGTTCAGCAGAGCTGGGGAGGCTTGGCCGCCAAACAGGACCCCCGCCTGAGTCAAATGCACCAGCACCAGCCGTACCAGCTCCCCCAGGTACAGACCTCCGATCATCTTCTCAAATCTGCGGGGACAGGCACCCCACGGTGTGAGGGGAGGGGGACGCACACAGAGCCTTTTCTAAACCTTCCACCTGCTCAACCAAGACTTTTGGGGCGGGCCTTAAACTGAGGTTCCATCAACAAACAGCCTCCCAGGAAATGCTCACCCACACAGTTGGGGGCTTGCCAAGGCCCCTCCTTTAGCTTTGGCGGAAGTTCACTTCAGGGAGACCATCCAGGGGGTAGGAGGACCCAAAAAGGGGAATTTGAGTGCTTTGTTTCCTCTGAATTGCCACCCGTCAGAACCAGTAAGGACAGGGAATAAGGGAGGGTCGGGTGGGAAGTTTAGCTCCAGAAGGGGCGCATTTGGCAGTGCAAAAGGCTTTCTCAGGGCTCTGAGCCCAGGGACCACTCCTGGTGGGGTTTTGGGTGACCCTATGGGATACCAGGAATTGAACCTGGGTTGGCTGTGAGCAAAGCAAGTGCCTTCCCTGCTGTATTGTTTTTGTTTGGGGGGGTTGGCTTTTGGGGGGCCACACCCTTTGATACTCTAAGGTTACTCCTGGCTCTACACTCAGGATTCACTCCTGGTGGTGCTTGAAAGACCATATGGGATGTTGGGGATTGAACCCAGCTCAGCTATTTGCAAGGTGAATTCCCCCTGAGTTGTTCTATAGCTCCAATCCCCTTCCCCCAGTTCTAGAACCTTGAGCCTTTGCTCCTGTGTGTGTGTGTGTGTGTGTGTGTGTGTGTGTGTGTGTGTGTGTGTGTGCTTTCCAGGGATCTTTCCTGGCAGAGCTTGGGGGACTCTATGGGATGCTGGGGATCGAACCCCGGTTGACTGCATTTAAGGCAATAACCCTTCCCGCTGCATGATGCAGCCCGGAGCCTTTGCTCCTTTGACTTTTTTTTTTGTCTTTTTGGGTCACACCCAGCGATGCACAGGGGTTACTCCTGGTTCATGCCCTAAGAAAATACTCCTGGCAGTGCTCAGGGGACCATATGGGATGCTGGGAATCGAACTCGGGTCAGTCGCGTGCAAGGCAAATGCCCTCCCCGCTGAGCTATTGCTCCAGCCCCCCCTTTGCTTCTTTGAATTGGTCAGCACTCCCCCAGTCCCCAAAGGTTCTGGAAACTCAAGTCCAGGAGGGAGAGAGGACAGGCAAGTGGCAGACATAGGAGGTCAGGCTACCTTTGGGTCCCGGGGTTCAGAGACTCCAAGTCCAGGGTGTGGTCGAAGGGGGTGAACAAGGGGGTCAGCACCCCGTCCTGGCTGAAGGAACCCCACTCAACGCTGATGCACACGCGGCCCCGGTCTTCGTCCAGTGTGGACACGTGACCAGCTTCCTCCATGTAGCAGGCATTGGTGCCTGTGTCTACCAGGGAAGACCCCCAGTGAGGATTGCCACCCCCCAGGCGGCAGCTGCCTCCCCCCCCCAAGTCCACGCCCCCAGCCAACTCCCGTCTTACCTACAACAAGCCCAATTTCACAGGGCCCGACCCCCCGCTCACAGCCCATCATGGTGCCCACCGTGTCGTTGACCACAGCGACCACTTCCACACGGCGTGCCTGGCCACAGAGGGAGGACAGAGGTCAGCGGGTACCCAGAGATCTCCAAGGAGACCCCCAAATCCACACACCTCCACCTTCTCAAGTTTCAAGTTTTCCTTCCTTTTTTTTTTCTTTTTGGGTCATACCCAGCGATGCTCAGGGGTTACTCCTGGCTCTGCACTCAGGAATTACTCCCGGTGATGATCAGGGGACCATATGGGATGCTGGGGATTGAACCAGGGTCGGCCATGTGCAAGGCAAATGCCCTCCCTGCTGTGCTATCACTCCAGCCCCCTCAAGTTTTCCTTTATTTCCTTCTGGTTTTAGGGCCACACCTGATGGTACTCAAGGCAAGTACTGTATCCACTGTGCTATCTCTCTGGTCCCTTTTTTCTTTTTTCTTTAAAGCCTCAGTCTCCATACCTGTAAAATGGGAGCATTTACCCGCAACACATCCTCCTAAAGGACATGGAGGGGCCCAGAGAAATAGTACCGTGGGGAGGGCGCTTGCTTTACATGTCGCTGACCCAGGTTTAATCCCTGGCATCCTTTTTTTTTTCTTTTTTTGAGTCACACCCGGCGATGTTCAGGGGTTACTCCTGGCTTTGCACTCGGGAATCACTCCTGGCAGTGCTCGAGGGACCATATGGGATGCTGGGAATCAAACTCGGGTCGGCTGCGTGCAAGGCAAACGCCCTACCCGCTGTGCTATTGTTCCAGCCCAATCCCTGGCATCCTTATGTTACTCTGAGCACCATTAGAAGTAATCCTGAGTGCAGAACCAGGAGTAAGCCCTGAGCACCACCTTGGCCCAAAAAACAAAACACAATAAAAATAAAAAACATGGAGAAAATGTGGCTGAAGAGAGAGCTCAGGGGTCAGGACACATCCCTTGCAAGCACAAGGACTCGAGATTTTTCCCTGGCACAACACACCCCCTCCCCAAAGCCTCCCAAATCACACCACATCCTCAGGCCTGAGCATTCAACTCTTCAGCCCGGTTGTCTGGTTCTTGCCAGGAGTGGCCCTGTGGCTCCTGAGCACTGCTGGGGAATCCCCACAGTCCCTAGAAGAGGTATCTCAAGAGGGAGAGTCTAGCAGGACTTTGTGGGCGGCCCCTCCCCACTCACCAGGTCCTGCCGCTCGATAGCTTCCCTCAGTAGCTGGACCACATCTTGGCCTTCCACACCGCTGCACCGGAAACCCTTGGTCCAGGAAATGAGGGTGCTCTGGGGGGGGGGTTAGAAAATCCAGAGAGAGGGGCTGGAGCGATAGCACAGCGAGTAGGGTGTTTGCCTTGCACACGGCCGACCCGGGTTCGATTCCCAGCATCCCATATGGTCCTCTGAGCACTGCCAGGAGTAACTCCTGAGAGCAGAGCCAGGACTAACCCCTGAGCATCGCCAGGTGTGACCCAAAAAGAGAGGGGACAGCAGAGAGGGTGTTTGCCTTGCATGCGGTCAACTCAGGTTCAATCCACGGCATCCCATAGGGTCCCTGGAGCACTGCCAGGCCAGGAGTAACTCCTGAGTGCAGAGCCAGGAGAAGCCCCTGAGCATGGCTGGGTGTGTGCCCCCCCCCCACACACACTAAAAAGAAGAAAAACAAAGCAGGTCACTTGTCCAACATCCGCAGATCACCCCTGTCCCCCACTTACCTGGTCAAGGCCTGTCTGATGACAGGGGAAAGAGAAGCTGAACCCCAGTTGCAGCTTATGCTGGACTTCAGGGAGCGCGTCCAGGAACTCCGCCAGGCAGCAGGTAGCAAAGTCAAAGAGCTGGGAAGGGGCAGGGGTGGGGCTCAGAGATGCCCTCCCTCCCCCTCCCATCTCACTCCCACACACACACACCTGAGCCGGCTGCCCTGCGGGACCCCAAGAGCGAGCTGTGAGCTCTCACCTGCTGGCCGGGCCCCTGCATCACCTCTGGGGGAATGATGAACTCTTGACTCCGGGGCTTCATCCTGGGCCACTCGGTGCCCGTCAGGGTCACCCAGAGAACACGGAGGGAGGCGCCTGTGGCCCCCAGCTCCAGCACCACGAAGTCGCCTTGTTCTGCAGGGCATGGAACTGGCTAGAGCAATCCTCCTGTCCACCAGCCCCCAACCCTTCTATGTCTCCCAGTCTCCTACGAAGGGACCTGGAAGAGACTGGGGGGTTGGCCCGATGGGCTGAGCACAGGCTTGGCAGTGGGGAGCCCCACGGTCTATCCCTGGCACTGCATGATCCCCAGAGCATCAACAAGTGTGGCTCCAAACCCAACCCCCCCGGAAAAAAATGGAGGGGGAGGGGACTGGAGCCAAGGGGACCATTGGTCCGATGGCCCAAGGGGCTGGAGCGATAGTACAGCAGGTTGGGTGCTTGCTTTGCTTGCGGCTGACCCGGGTTCAATCCCTGGCATCCCATATGGTCCAGAAGGTGCCTGCACCAGCAGATCCAGGTGGGATCCCCTAGGGTTCCCTGAGCCCTACCAGGAGTGATCCCTGAGCACAGAGCAAGAAGTAAACCCTAAGCACAACTGAGTGTGGCCCCCTAAAAAGTGGGGGAGGGGACTGGAGTGTTGGCACAGCGGGTAGGGAGTTTGCCTTGCATGGGGCCGACCCGGATTCGATTCCCAGCATCCCATAGGGTCCCCCAAGAACCACCAGGAGTAATTCCTGAGTGCATGAGCCACGAGTAACCCCTGTTCATCACTGAGTGTCACCCTCCCCCAAAAAAAGTCCCCTGAAAGTGGGGGAGGTCTTAGAAGTGATCTGGCCAGGGGTCAGGTGCACCCACCCCAGAGTCCTCCCTTGCAGGCCTGACCACACACCAGTGCCATGCGGGATGGAGCCCACGTAGGTGGGGAGCATGCGCACAGCAGGGGTCGGGCTGGCTGGGCCCCTCAGCGCCTGGTCCATGGAGCTCCGGAGGGCGGTCTGGATCTGTCGCAGCTGGGCACCGGTCACCAGGAACTGCTGTAGACATGCCTGCACCTGGGCACAAGCAGGATGATATGGGGGTGCCCGTCCCTGGTTCTCAAGGCCCTAAGGGCCACCCTGCCTAGCTCCTGTCTTTGAGCTCCCGTTTAGAACAGCACCTCTTTGCACATCGCCCGGGTGCCTTCTCGACCCTTTCCTCTCCTCTGCCACCATCAGGCTGCAGAAAAGTCCCAACACCTCCACTGCTGAAATTCTGGGGCTGTCACAGGGCCCCACAGAGCTGTGCATGAATGAACCCACAGACCAAGGGACCAGAGCGATAGTACAGTAGGTAAGGTGCTTGCCTTGCATGTGGCTGACCTGGGTTCGATCCCTGACACCTCATATTGTCCCTCAAGCACCACGAGGAGTGATGCCTTGAGTGCAAAGCCAGGAGTAAGCCCTGAGAACCATCAGGGGTGGCCAAAATCAAACCAAAAAAACCACCACCAACAACAATGAGGAATGGATGCTGCTATTTTTTCTTTTCTTTTTTTTTTTTTGGCTTCTTAGGTCATGCTCAGGAATCACTCCTGGCTCCGCATTCAGAAATTACTCCTGACAGTGCTCAGGGGACCCTGTGGGATGCCGGGGATCGAACCTGGGTTGGCTGCGTGCAAGGGGCGAGAACCCTGACTGAGTGCAAGGCACTCTGGGGCCAACTTCCAGTTCTGCAGTTTCTGGGCAGACAAAGTGGAGTTGGGATGGGAAGATGGGGGACTAGGGACCCTGGAAGGCACCGCTGGGAGGACAGAGCATGGCCAAGAGCCTGGGGGCATGGTCAAGGACGGAAGGAAGCCTTGACTATAAACCCTTGTTGAACTTGTAGTTGCGTTTGTTTGTCTGTTTGGGGTGATGCTCAGGGTTTGCTCCTGGCTCTGCACTCAGTAATCACTCCTGGCAGTGCTTGGGGGGGACCCTATGAGATGCCAGGAATTAAACCAGGGTGAGTCATGTGCAAGGCAAATGCCCTCCCCGCTGTGCTATCACTCTGGCCCACTGCTGTTCCTCGCAGGTAGCCCTGAGGTGCTCTCAGCTCTCAATCATTCCGGGTTGGGAGGACTCAAGGCCCTGAAAGCCACCTTGAGGTTGTGTGAAGGGCCCAAGGAGATGGTGTGCCTAGGTGCAAGGTGAGCCTGAAGCCCTCCTCCCCCTCCCCCTGCAGCCCCTGAATTCCAACAGGCCTGAGCCGGGCGGGCCCCAGGGCTGAACTCACCAGCTCAGAGCTGTCTGCGGAAGGCCCGACTTCTGGAGGGTTCTCGCCTTCCTGAGGCATGAAGGGCCCAGGAGGGTCCATGTGGGTCCTCGTTAGGGATGGGTGGCCACCTATGGGGGAGAAATGAACAGCCTCCCGGTAAGCTGGGGTCCCAGCCTCTCCGCCTTCATCTTCCTGGGGTGATCAGGAGGAAATTGTGAGCGGAGCTCAGAACCTTTGGATTTCAGCATTCTTTGCACTCAGGGAACACTCCTGGCAGTGCTCCAAGTGGGGGATGCCCTGGGTGGTGCTGGGAACCGAATCCAGGTCAGACACGTGCAAGGCAAGTGCCCCACCTGTGGTGCTATTTCTCTGACCCTCTTCAGAACCCTTTGCAGGTTCTCACTTGACATCTCTCGAGTCACAGCCAAACTTGATCCCCTCTGCCTCTGCTTTCTCCCTTCTCTCATCACTCCCAAGCGTCCCCTCGGACCCCTTGGAGGCCAGCCCAGCCTTTTCCTCGGCCCCCACCTTTCCTGCCCTCTCTCGGGCATATGAGGCTGTGGTTACTTGTCACTGTGGAATTCTCTCGTCCCCGGCTGAAGAGATCACACAGGGAGATCATAAGGCACGTGCCTGACCCCTTTTCGATCAAGCTGACCTCGATGGTTCGCTGTGGAAGGTGCCCCTGAGCACCTGAGCACCAGGGAAAGCCCTGAACAATGCTGGAAGTGCTTTCTCCGCCTCTAATAAGCTCCACCCCCTTTCTTTTGTCTCTTGGCTTTCGTACCCAATTTCTCCTAGACATTCTTCCGAAGATTCTGGTTGTCTTGGAAACTTTCCTCTCCCCCTAAACAATGGGGGAAATCAGGGTTCTGGCCATAGCTTTTCTTTTCTTTTGAGGGGTGGGGATGGGGTGTACACTGGGCAGTGCTCAGGGTTTTCTCCTGGCTCTGAGATCCAGGATCACTCTTGATGGGGCTTAGGGGACCCCATGTGGATTTGGGGATCAAGTCTGCAAATATCCCCAAATTATATGCTCTCTTCAGCCCCAAGTTTTTCCACCTGGTGATGCTCAAGGGATACTCCTGGCTAGGTGCACAGGGACTGCTCCTGGTGGTGCTTTGGGGACCATATTGGGTGCAGGGAATTGAATCCAAGTTGGCCACATGCAAGACAAGCATCCTACCAGCTGTATTAATGCTTTAGTCTAGTCACCAAAGTGTGTGTATGTCTGTGTGCGCGTGTGTGTGCGTGCGTGTGTGTGTGTGTGTTGGGACCACATTCAGTGATGCTCAGGGCTTACTCTTCTGCATTCAGGAATCATTCCTGTCAGGTTCAGACCATGTGGAGTGCTGGGGATCGAACCTGAGTCAGATGCATGCAAGGCAAGTGCCCTACCACTGTATTATCTCTCTGGCCTTGAGTTTTTTTTTTTTTAATTTTCCTTTCTTAATTTTTGCCTAATATCAAGAAATCATGTTGATGTCATTTTGGAGCGATAGCACAACGGGTTGGGCATTTGCCTTGCACGTGGCCGACCCAGGTTTGATTCCTCCATTCCTCTCGGAGAGCCTGGAAAGCTACCGAGAGTATCCTGCCCACGGCAGAGCCTGGCAAGCTCCCCATATCGACATACTCGATATGCCAAAAACAGTTAACAACTGGTGCCCGCTCGAGCAAATTGATGAACAACGGGAGACAGCGGACAGTGCTACAGTGCATCAAGAAATCAGTTTGTGGGGGCTGGAGTGATAGCACAGCGGGTAGGGCGTTTGCCATGCACGCGGCCGACCTGGGTTCGATTCCCATCATCCCATATGGTCCCCTGAGCACCGCCAGGAGTAATTCCTGAGTGCAGAGCCAGGAGTAACCCCTGTGCATCGCTGGGTGTGACCCAAAAAGCATAAAAAAATCAGTTTGCATCAGATCATTCCAAAGTCACCTATTCCTACAGTTTCCATCAAATGCAATATGAGTTTCACAGAGGATGCAACCAATCACCATTGGAAAGAGCCAAGGGGGTAGATGTGGGAAACTTGCATGTTTGATGCCAGCTGGCTGGAACGTTTGTTCATTCACTCAGACACTCTTTTCCTTTTTGGATCACACTGGTAATGTTCAGGGGTTACTCCTAGCTCTGCACTCAGGAATTACTCCTGGTGATGCTTGGGAGACCCTATGGGATGCCGGGGACTAATGAGCCCTGGTCAGTGCAGGCAAGGCAAATGCCCTCCCGGCTGTACTCTCTCTCTGGCCCTCTCAGACACTCTTTTGTTTGGGGGCCACACCTGGCAGTGCTCAGGGCTAACTCCAGGGCTTACTCTGTGCTCAGGGAGGGTCTGAGAGACCATATGGGATGCTGAAAATTGAACCCTAGTCAGCTGTATGCAAGGCAAACACCCTATCTGCTATACTGTTGCTCTGACCCGCCCCCTGCTTTTTTTTATGGTTTTGGGGCCACAATTAGAGGTGTTCTGAACTTATGCCTGCCTCTGCATTCAGGCATCACTTCTGGTGGTGCTTGGGGAACCATCTGGGGTGCTGGGGATTGAACCAGTCACGTGGAAGGCAAACACTCTACTCACTGTATTTGCTCTCTAGCACCCCCCGCCCCATTCACTTTTTCCATAATCTGTTCTACATTTTTGGTTTTTTTTCCCCAGTGGTGCTCAGGAAACACTTCTGTCAGGTTTGGGGACCATATGAATATCAGGGATTGAACCTAGTAGGTAGGGCATGTGCTATGCAAATGCTCTACCTGCTTTACCATTGCTCTGCCCCCAGGTCTATTCTTTGTTGGATTTTTGGCCATACCCAACAGTGCTCAGGGCTTAGAGCTCACTCCTGGCAGTGCTCAGGGAACTATATAGTGCCCAGTCAGCTGCATGTCAGGAAAGTGCATGAACATTTACCCTGTGCTATCTTTGTGGCTGAGTCTGGTTTATTTGACACCACGCCCCTCCCCCCCCCCACAAGAAACTTTAGTTTCCTCGATGAAGAATTCTTGGTGAAGAATGTCGTATCCAGGGACTGGAGTGGTAGCACAGTGGGTAGGGGTTTGCCTTGCATGCAGCCGACCCGGGTTCGATTCCCAGTATCCTATATGGTCCCCTGAGCACCACCAGGAGTAATTCCTGAGTGCAGAGCCAGGAGTAACCCCTGTGCATCACCGGATGTAACCCAAAAAGCAAAAAAAGAATCTGTTGTATCTAGCAGTGTCCTGTTACTATATTTTTTGTACTGTTTTAAAGTCACACCAGGCAGTGCTCAATGCTTACTCCTGGCTCTCTGCTCAGGGATCACTCCTGGTGGAGCTTGGGGGGGGACCTTAGTGGGTGCCAGGGATTGAACCTGGGTGAGCCACGTGCCAGACAAGGGCCATCCCCGCTGTCCTACGGTTCTGGTCCTACTTGGCTCCTCTTTGCGTAACTGGCCTTTCGGTTCAAGCTAGCTGGGTGGCATCCTCATTGATACCCAGGGTCTACTCCCTGTAGAGGCTGAGCAGAAGCTGAGGCAGGAGCGGGGAAGAGGGGAAGGGAGGCGTCTGCTTACCTCAACAACAGCCCCAGGTCACTGTCTCAGGCTGAAACTCTCCTGGTTCTCCAAGTATGGTATCTCACTGTGCTGGTCACACCCCAAAGTGAAAACTGTTTCCGTGTTGTAACATCTCCAAGTCCCACCCCCTACTTCCACCACCCCTTACCAGTCACCAGCTAATGCTGGATTTTGCAATTCCTTTTTTTCTTTTCAGGGCCACACCCTGCAGTGCTCAGGGCTTACTCCTGGCAGACTTGGGGCCCGTATGAGGTGCTGGGGATTGAACCTGGGTCGACTGCGTGCCAGGCAAATGCCTTACCTGCTATAATGTTGCTCCTGCACATGTATTTCCTTCTAAATCGGCCCTGAGAGTGCGCAGAAACAACAGGGCAGTGTGACCCCAAGAAGTGAGAGGTCTAGTAGGTCATGCTGGGGAGGGTGCCCATTTGATTACTGGCCAGGGAGTTTAGGCCACAAGTGGCAGTGGTCAGGGGCTATTCCTGGTTCTGCATGTCAGGAAAGTGCAGTCACGTGCACCACCCCTAGTGGTGCTCAGGGGAACATATACGGTGCCAGGGAGCAAACCAGGCTTGGCCACATGCAAGGTATGTCCCCTCCCGCTCGACCACCAGGTACTGGGCCTCATAGAGAATGATTTTTTTTTTGCCTTTTGGGCCACACCCGGCAATGCACAGGGGTTACTCCTGGCTCTGCACTCAGGAATAACCCTTGTGGTGCTCAGGGAAACATATAGGATGCTGGGAATCGTGCCCAGGTCGACAGTGTGCAAGGCAAACGCCCTACCCGCTGTGCTATCACTCCAGCCCCCATCATAGAGAATGACTTTTAGTCATCTCCAGAACGCCAGGACCCTAGTTCTAGTTGTGACAGCAGATAGGAATCCAGTATTTTTTTTTTTTTTGGATGGGGACCTGATGGTGCTTAGGGTGGTGTGGAAATTCGAAGCCAATGAAAAAACACTTGATATACTGAAAAGTGGGAAAACTCAGCTGATCTTTTTTTTTTTTTGGTCATACCCAGGATGCTCAGGGGTCAATCCTGGTAGGGCTTGGGGGACCATATGGGGTTCCAAGGATTGAACCATGGTCAACTATATATGAGGGAAGCACCCTGACCCACTATACTATCTCTGTGGCCCTGAACTCAATTTCTTTTGTTGTTTTGGGGCCATACCCAGCGGTGCTCAGGGGTTACTCCTGGTCCTATATACTCAGGGATCACCCCTGGCAGGCTCTGGGGGTTCCTACAGGATGACAGGGGTCAAACTCGAACTAACCGTGTTTAAGGAAAGTCCTCTACCCACTGTACTATTACTCTGGTCCCCAAGAACTGTTTTATTTATTTATTTTGCTTTTTGGGTCAAACCCAGCAATACACAGGGGTTACTCCTGGCTCATGCACTCAGGAATTACTCCTGGCGGTGCTCAGGGGACCATATGGGATGCCAGGGATTGAACCCGGGTCGGCCGCGTGCAAGGCAAACGCCCTCCCCGCTGTGCTATTGCTCCAGCCCCCTCAAGAACTGTTTTAATTATTCTGGTGGACCCAGCAGAGCAGGTCCAAAAACTGTGCCCTGAACAAAGGCGAGAGCTGTTTTCTAGAATAGACGGCGATGGGGCATCTGTAGGCAACTGACAGGAGAGTAAAGAAGCAGAAATTTCCAAGCCTGTGATTTTGCAAAGCAGGGTCTGAACCACAAGGACATGAGCTCACTGGGTGGCCATCCCCAGGTCACAAAGCCTGAGTAGGGCTATCCCAATGCATCCCGCGGTTGTCATGTCCCTGATGCCGCTGCCCCTTGGCAGCTCCTGCTCTCTGGGGTTAGCCTGTTTGATAGGTGGGCAGGGAACTATTTCTTCCTCATGGGGAACGTGCAATGTCAGGGCTGGAACCCAGGGCTCTCACAGGTCAAGCCTGAGTGCTGGTACTTGGTTCCAAGGCTCTAGAGCATAATGATTCAATGAAAGAATTTCCATCATGGGGGTGTGGTATCTGACATGGAGAAGAACTTGGTCCCTGCTTCCTGCCTTCTTACTCCTGACAGACTCAGGAGGAGACCACATGGGGTGCTAGGATGGAACTTGGGTCGGCCTCATGCAAGGCAAGCACCCAACCCACTGCACTATCTCTCCGGTCCATACAACTTTTTTCTGGAAGGCCAAAGAGGAGGACTGGGAGGGTCCCGGCCACGCGGACCAACCATGTCTTCACTGCTGCCTCTGAGCCTTAGTTTCCTCATGTCAAGAGCCCTGATCATTCTCCTGCCTGAGGGGTTTGTGAGGAAGAGATGCAGGTAGGCAGGAGAAGGGGACAGGAGGTGCTGGAAAGTCCAGGACTCTTCCTGCTGGGCCACTGGCTGTGTGGGACTTCCAGAATAGAGAGGCAGAGGGGGTGGCAGTGGGCTATCTCCCCGTGCCTCGAGGTCCTGATGCCTCCACAGGGCCTTCTGCTCTGGCCTGCTCCTTCCCAGGCTTTAGGCAGACTGGTGTGAGGGTGCCCTAGAGAGCTGCAGCTGCCAGTACCAACTCTCGTTCTGGGGCCTGCAGCAGGGAACAGCGACAAGTGTCTGTTCCGCAATGAATTTTCTGGGCAGTTGGGCTGGAGAACTTTGATTCCTCAACTCGCGTACCCATCCAGGACGTTCTTCTCTGGGAAACCAGAAAATCAATCTCCTTTCCATGACGGGTGACTGTGACTGGTACCCCCAACTGCTTGATGTAGGAAGGAAAAGAAGAGTCATGGTGGAGAAACTATAAACCAGTGTTTGCTCAAAAGAATGGCAGACGAGTCCCCCAAAAACCCTGTGCTCTGAGGCAAATTTGGGGTGTGGAGGAGGGGGTCATACTTGGCAGTGCCCAGACCACCACGGAGTGCTGGGGCTCAAGCCTAGACCTCCTGACTGCAAAGCACGTGCTCAGTCTTTGGAGTGCTCCAGCCCGGGCTGAGAACTGGTGTGTGTGTGTGTGCGTGTGCGTGTCTGGAGCTACATAGGGCAGTATTCCTGGCTCTGTGCTCAGGGATCATTTAAGGCTGCTCTTGGGGGGATCCCACACAGTGCCAGAGATTGAACTGGGGTTGGCTATATGCAAGGCAAATGCCTTAGTCGCTGTCCAATCTTTCCAGTCCTTCCATGGCTGAAAATTCTTTTCTGGGTGAAGAAGTAAGATGAAGTCCCAGGCTGTGGAACAGCAGGGACAGCAGAATCAAAAGGAGGCGTCAGTGGCTGCAGCCTGCTCCGAGCAAGCTGTAAGAGGACCCCGACCCCAGAAAGTGGGCACTCCCCATGCAGTGACTCTGGTAGTGTGCCAGAGATCAGTAACAGGCTTCATGTAGATCCACATCCGCTCTGAGTCTCAGGGACTTGCTCCAGCCCTCAAGCTTCTCACCCCGAACCCCAGGATGCGAGGAAAATAAAAAACAAACCAAAAAGCACCAAGACTCACCAGAAAAAATACAAACATAAATATATTTCCATTTAACTTGGAAAGAAACTCCAACAGGCTGTTAGAAACACAGGTGTCTGGAGAGGTCGCAGGAAACAGAAGAAACAGAACGCTGAGTGGCCGCAGCTGGCAAGTACCACCACGCCCAACAATGAACCAGAGGCTTCGAGGACCAAGCAGCCTCCCCCGCCCAGCCCCCCCACGTCCCCCCCCCTCCCCCACCATTAACTGCTAACAGTTCTGCCAACTTTCAGCCCAAAGGCCTTCAGGATTTCTTCCTCCTGCCTCTGCCACCTTTGGTCCGTGGCCGGCTGCCTGGTGGGGCAGCGAGCTGCTTTTTGAAGTCCACCAAGCAATCCGTGGCTTCGGAAACAGGCACAAAAGACTTGATGGGCGACTCACTGAGGTTGAGCGGGATGAGGCAACTAGGCCTCTCTCTGCTGCAGCCGGCTTCTTCCATCCCAGAGGATGGCACCCTAGAAAGAAGGGGTGGGGGAGACATTGTGTGTGTGTGTGTGTGTGTGTGTGTGTGTGTAAAATGCCAAATTCAATATGCACCTGCACCTGGGCCAGGGGCACCAAGTCTGGGGTGCCCTGCATGGCACCAGGAGCTTCTGGGCCAGCTTCCACATGCTTTGGCGATCTCCAACTAGAGGAGGTGAAGCCTGATCCCCACTGCAGGGGAAGCCGAGTGCAAGGCAGGGGGTCTCAAGGACGGAAGTAGCAGCTACGCCCTTGGTATGCCTGGTTTAGACACCCGAAGTTACCCTGAGAATGCAGTCGATTTGGAGCCCCAGCAACCACGAAGGCCAGGGAGCACACTGCGCGGCCACGTGGCCTGGGCCTGGGTGACTCCCGGCCTCGAGCCTGCCACTTAAATGTGGGTCCAGGGCCCTTCCCTGGGAAGTGCTGGCAGCCACACGCTGGGGGCCCCGGCCCAGCTTACCTGCAGGTTCCTGTCCCTGAAGACTCGACCTTCACCTCGGCGTCTGCAGACAGAGAAGAGAGAGGTCGCTGAGAGCACGGCCAAGGCTGCTCCCTTGCCCTGTGCCCTCGTTTTTCCTGGGGCTGCCACTGGGACTGTGTGTGGCTCCCCAACTCCCTCCTGAATTGTTAAGTGCTCGGCTCCCACAGCCAAGGACCAGAGGGGAATCCTGTGGAGGGGCCCAGCTCGGAAGCAACCCACTTAGAACCTGCACTGGAGGAATGAGGATGTATGCACGTTTCTGCAATATGTGTGTATTTTTGTCTGTGTGCAGGCGGGCAGTGTGTGTGTGTGTGTGTGTATGTGTGTGTGTGTGTGTGTTGTGTGCTGTGTGCTGTCTTCTCACCTGCTGCCTGGTATTCAGACTGTTCCAAGACACTGAGCAGTCGGCCTTCACTGCGGCCTTTTTCCTGGGAGAGCAGACAGATGAAAGGGTTATCACCACCCGGCCGAGAGGCAAAATCACAATTTCCAGAATCCTGCTCACACCTGCCGCCTCCGAGAGAGAAGAGGTGTGGCGCCTAGCTCGAGGAAAGTTCCCTGGCTTTCGAGTAACTGAGGCACATCCGTGAAAAGGAAGCCAGCGGCGACAGGGTACACCTTTATGCCAAGAACACGCACCCAAGGGCTCCTAGGGCCAAGAGAAAGGATTCCACAAGTGTGGACGTCTTCAGTAGCCTCTGAGCTGTGATGGCTGGGGAAGGAAGTTCTGGGGCCATGGGGCCTGAGCAACAGGACAGTCCATCAGGCACTTGCCTTGCCTGCAGCCAACCTGGGTTCGATCCTCAGCATCCCATAGAGTCCTCCAAGACCCTCCAACCCAGGTCGGCCGCGTGCCAGGCAAATGCCCTACCCGCTGTACTATCACTCCAGATCCCTCTTCCTGTATTCTGTACCCTGCTGTGCCCGGTGGTCACAGAATTGGGGGCCCAGGTGGCAGTGTTTGTGGGATGGGCGAATATCGGGTATATCACCCCAGTCTCTGCTTGTGTCCTCACGCAGAGTTCCCTGGTGCTTTCCTCTCCAGGCAGGAGGGCTCCTCAGCAGTAATCCCTGAGCACCAACCAAGTGTGGCCCAAATACCCAGGAAAAATAATTTCTGAGGCCAGACAAGACAGAAGAGGGGTTAAGGCGCTTGCCTTGCCTGAAGTCAGTCCAAGTTCAATCCTCGGCACTGCATAAGAGTCCCTCAAACCCACCGGAAGTGATCCCCGAGCAGTCAGTCCCAACCAGGAAGAGTTCCGCAGCCCACCCCCAAATATTCCCTAGGGCTAGAAAAGTGAAAGTCCAGGAGATTAGGTGCTCGCCTTGCACACAGCCAACCCTGGTACCAAATATGGGGCCCTGAGCACATCCAAGATTCTGAGCATTGCTTGAGTGTGGCCCCTAAACCAAAATAACAACAACAATAACAACAACAATAATGAACTCATACCTGAAGATGCCCTGAAAGGTGTGTTTCCACTACCATGTTAAGGCACCCACATACAAAGCACAGCATCAACTATATTTAAAATTTGGGGGGCTGGGGTTGGGGGGGGGTAAAGGAAATTATGTGTAGCGTGTAAGTAAAAATATAAGCAAAAATAATCTCTTGTTGTATTTTTAATTTTGGCATGTGAGTGGGCTGGGCCACTCACATGTCCAGTGGTGCCCAGGAGCCCACATTGGGTACTGGGATTCCAATCAGGCCTCAATCATATGCAAGGCAAGTCCTAGTTCTGGGTTTTTTTTTTTTTTTTTTACTTTTTGGGACACACCTGGCGATGCACAGGGGTTCCTCCTGGCTCATGCACTCAGGAATTACTCCTGGCAGTGCTCGGGGGACTCTATGGGATGCTGGGAGTTGAACCCGGGTCGACCGCGTGCAGGCAAAAGCCCTACCCACTGTGATACTGCTGCTGCCTCCCCCGCTTTTTTTGTATTTTGAAGTCCTTGCTCTCTGGCCCCTAAAACAACTGAAGAATTTTGCCAAGCACAAATCTTGCTTTGAGATAAACTGAAGAAAGAGGGGAAGCGGTAGAAGAGGATGAGAGAGCCGCGCTCGCCTTTCCTAGAGTGCCCCACACGTACCTTGGGGTTCCCCTGGCGCCGGGGTGGTGGCTGCTTGCCTTCCGTGGAGGAGCCCGGGTGCTGCCAATGCCCCGATTTCTCTCCCCGGCTGCTGCTGGCCTTCTTGGCGAGGCGCAGACAGGCCATGACGTGCCCGTGATAGTCTCTGAACGGGACCCGGGCTTTGCAGAGGTAACATTTCTCATTCCTGGCCCGAAGTGAGGGGAGGGAGGGGAGAGCAAGAGGTGTGAGCTGGGGCTGCGTGTGGGATCCGGACGGGGCTTTGAAGTCTCTCTTCTGGAGACCTGTCAAGCAGCGCCTACTCGCGGGCCCGGCTCGCCAAGAAAATGCCCCCTGCGTGGCTGAGTGATGAGCGGTTTCCCCGGGCGGCCCCCCTGTCATGCTGGCAGGGGGATGATAATGAAATCAGCTTCTCTAACGATCTCCAACACCGCTGATTGCGCGGCACATAAAATATGCCATTGAACGTTACCGAAATGAAGTGGGATCAGTCGTGTGCCCCCCCTTCCAAAGGGAAGTTAAAATTGAGATGGAAAAGGAACACCACAAGCATTAAATCAAGATGACGGTTTCACTAGAGTGGATGAACTTGTCTGATTAGTAAATCAAGTCTCGTCGCCAGGCCGATTTCCTGAATTCTACCACCCGGCACCCAGGCGACTAGGAAGTGCCCCAGAGTGTCGATTCAACCAGAGGCTGTTGCCAAATTTCACGGTTATTTTTAGAGAGGAAACTGTCCTCTAGAGAAGGGTTCCTGGGCATCCATCTGTGACAATGGAATTTTCTTTTTTGAGGGGGGGCAAGGGGATTAGGGCCACACCCAGCAGAAAAAAGAAAAAAGGGAGAAAGGGAAGATGCCACAGGGTGGGGAGGAGAGATGAGAGGACTGGAAAGGAGGGGAGAGGGGAGAAGAAAAGAAGAGATGGGAGAGGAGGGAAGGAGACAGAAGGGGTAAAAGAAGAGAGAAACTGGAGAGGGAGAGAGGAGGAGGAGAGGGAGAAGAAGGGGGAAGGGAGGAGAGATAAGACAGGAAGAAAGAAGAGAGGGGAGGGAAAGGGAAGGAGAGGAGAGATGAGGGGAGGACAGGAAGAGAGACTGGGGCATTCCAGTAGGACTCTAAAGGCGCCAACAGTCAGCTCAGCTGGGGTGAACCAGAGATTCCCAGACTCTGTCAGGCCTGCTCTGCTCAGGCACTATGGGCAGGGCACTTATCCTGCCCTTGGGGTGCACTTTCATAGTCACGCTGAACCCCGGAACTCCATTGCCCAACCTTGTGCAATTCAACTCCGGTTTCCTTGGCAAAACCACCACCGCTTCCCCAAAGCAGCACAAACGCCACCACAGCTGGGCTCGGCAATGAGCGAGGAGGAAGCGGGGTTGCGTGGGGAGTTGTGGGGGTGTGCGCAGCTGGGTTGTCTTAGGGTCATGAAAAGGGATAGATGCCACCTCATCTACACGGTTATGAGCCCATGAAAGGCAAAGCAAGGCACCTGGGGGTCACAGAATAAGGGGAAGCAAGGAGTGGGTTTGAACTGGGGCCATGCTGTCAAACACCCCCCACCCCCTCACCCCTCCTGCACCCCTTACTCACTTGTCAGCGTCAGAAGTCTCGCCCAAGCTCCTATTCCTGGCCTCTTTTTGCCTCCGAGTCAACACTTTGAATCATAAAAGCAAAGCACAGGGTGAATTAAAAAGAAAGCAAAGCAAACCTGTTCTTTCCTCCCACCAGAATGCTGCCAAGGGGGGGGGGGGGGGGGCTCTGCCAAGAGACAATACAGCGGGCAGCGGGCATCTGCAGTGCCAATCCAGGTTCAAGCACCAGTCTCCCAGTTCGAGGGATCCTTGAGCACAGAGCCACAAGTTAGCCCCCACCCAGCATGTGGCATGGCCCCAACACTCCCCTCCCCATGAAAAAAAAAAAATCACAGGGAAGGGAGTTCAAAGGCAAGAGCCTTAACCCCCCACTATCTCTCCGGCCCCGTGCTGTGACTTATTCAACATATCATGCTGACTTTTTCTTTTTTGGGGGGGTAGCTTTTTGGGTGACACTCACTGATGCTCAGGGGGTATTCCTGGCTCTGCACTCAGGAATCACTCCTAGAGGTACTCAGGGGACACGATGGGGTACCAAGGACCAAACCCGGGTCGGCCACGTGCAAGGCAAGCATCCTACCCGCTGTACCCACTTGGGCCCAAATCATGCTTTCTTAGTTTTTCTTTTTCTTTTTGGGAGGATCCTCCCAGGATGGGAGAAGCATGCTGAAAGTAGACTATAGACCAAACATGGTTGCCACTCAATGCCTCTTTTGCAAACCACAACACCCAAAAGGAGAGAGAACAGAGGGGAATACCCTGTCACAGAGGCAAGATGAGGTGGGGGGGATGGGGGGGGTGAGAGGGATACTGGGATCCGTGGTGGTGGGAAATGGGCACTGGTGGAGGGATGGGTATTTGATCATTGTATAATTGAAACCCAAGCACAAAATTTGTAAGTCTACAACTGTACCACATGGTGTCTTTCTAAAAAAAAAAAAGAGAGAGAGATAGTCTAACGGTTAAGACACTTGTTTTGTATGCTATATGCCAAACCCACTTTAATCCCTGCACCACCTGTGGTCCCTGACACCCGCCAGGAATGATCCCTGAGCACAGAGCCAGGAGTAAGCTCTGAGCACTGCCAGATATGGCACAAAACCCAAACCCCTCAGGGGAAAAAAAAATTTTGTGTGTGCCTGTGTGTATTTAAATCAAGGGTGGGACCAGAGATATACTACAGAGGCTCTTGCCTTTCATGTTGCTGGCCATTGGGGGACCTTATGGGTGCCAGGAATTGAATCCAGGGCGACCACGTGCAAGTCAGGCTCCTTAACTGCTGTACTTTCTCAAGCCCTGCTCTCTTTCTAACCTGTTAATTTTTAATTCACTTAATACAGACATGTCTACAGTTGTAAAAAAGGCCACCTTCTACTCCAGTTGTCCCTGTCGTTGTCCCCTGGGACAAACACGATTAATAGTTGCTTGTATGATCTTATTGTATTATGCATATTTCATTACACAGGTGTTAGAAAGACTTGAAAGTATGTGTCGTTTCCCTTAGTAAAGTGTGAGATCCTTAAGAGGAAGGACCCTGGGGCTGGAGAGGAGAGAAGACGCCAGCCTTGCATGCAGCCCACCTGGGCTCCACCCCTGGCACCCCACGGGGTCCCCTGAGCACCACCAGCAGCCACTCTGGAGCCCAAGACCAGGAATAACACCTGAGCACCACTAGGTATCACCCCCCACACCCCAGAATTAAAAAAAAAAAGAATAAGGATCCTGTTTTCATAATTGTGGTAGTTCCCCAAATTATTTTCACATGGATGCAACTCAGGAGATGCACAATTATGAAAATGAAACTGGAACCGGGAAGAAGTTAGGCTTCTCTGGGAGCCCACCACCGTTTTCTTCCGTCGTTGGGTCACGGCAGTCATTTCTCCACCCTCCCCCACCCCGAGTCTTGGATGAAGATGTAGAACCGCATTCTTGTCATCTGTGCCGATGACACAGAGCTGGAAAAGGGAGCTAATAACAGCAGATGACAGGATCCAGGCAGCAGATGAGCTCCCCAGAATGCAATGTTCCACTGACGGGAACAAGGACAGAGCTGAAGTCCCCGTGTTTGTTGGGGGGTGGGAGGGGGGCAGCGGGGGGGGGGGGGGTGGACAATGCAGCCCCTGACTGTGGAATGAAGGAACCGCTTTTGATAAGAACGTGTTTCCCACTGGTCTGGGAGGCCAGGGGCCAGCGCGTCAGTGCCCCGAGCCCCTAGCCAGGCTGCAGTGAGTAAAGCCAGCAGCATTAGCAGCTAAAGCAGAGGCGATCTTCCAAGGACTGCCTCCTGGGTCTGTTCTCTTGACTCCTCAGGCTCCTTGTGGAGTACTGTGTTCATTTTGGGGTGCCATGCATAGAAAACGAATTTGGGTGCACCCACAGAAAGCATGATTTGAGGGGCTGGAGCAATAGCACAGCAGGTAGGGCGTTTGCCTTGCACGCAGCCGACCTGGGGTTCAATTCCCAGCATTCCATAGGGTCCCCTGAGCACAGCCAGGAGTAATTCCTGAGTGCAGAGCCAGGAGTAACCCCTGTGTATTGCCGGGTGTGAATAAACACCCTTTATTTGGTGCTCCCTTCTCTATCTGAGCTCCCTTTTCCCCCAGCATGTGTGGCTGGCCTCCAAGCCATGGAGCAAAATTCCTGGTACTAATCTCAGCCATTCTTGGGTGTTTAGACTATCTCTTTGGTCCCATCCTTCTTTTGATTTAATTTGGCCCCATTCTTTTTTGATTTTTGTTTTATTTGGTGGGGGAGGGTTTGGGGTTATAATCAATGATGATTATTTCTTATTTGTGGGTTCATATGTGGGACCAGGTATCAAACTGGGGTTGGCAGTGCGCAAGGCAAGCAAGATTCCCCACTGTACCCTGTACTATCTGCTTGGCCCCAAAGAGGATCTATTTCTTTCTTTCTTTTTAGCTTGCAGGTGGAGGAGGGAGAGTTGGTTTAGGCCATATCTGGAGAAGCTCAGGGGTCACTCCTGGTTCTGCACTCAGGAATTAACTCCTGGCAGTGCTAGGGGGACCACGCAGGATGCCGGGGATCGAAGTCAGGTAAGCAGAGCGCAAGGCAAATGGCCGCCCTGCGACACTATCACTCAGGCCCAGAATCTATTTCGAAGGCCCTCTCCAACCCAGAGGCTGTCCGGACAAATAAAGTAGTGCGACAGAAAAGCAGCTTGGACAGAAGTTATATAAGCACCTTCAAACCCACCTCCTATTCTATCAGGCAGCCCACATTTCTCCATCTTTCGTACAAGGACTGCAGGAGAGATTTTATCAAGTGCCGGGCTGAAATCAATTCTTGAAAAGGCTGGCATCTCCCAGATTACGGGAGTCTTTTAAGAGTTGTTTTCTCTCGATTTCTCTTTGTCGCCCATCTGGACTACCCTGCATCTCTCCCCCAGAAACCCCCGCCAACCACTCCACAAACAGGGACAGAACAAGAACTAATCGCCCATACACCTCATCAGTGCCTGGCTGCCTTTTTCCCCCTGCAACTTTCTGAACTCTGGGATACCTCCAGACATTTTGCTTTCCTCCCTCCATCAGTCTCAGCAGAGCCAAGCAGAGATGCTAATCATTTATCTGCCAAGTGAAAGCTCTGAATTTCCCCCCCTTTTCTTTTTGGGTCACACCCTGCGATGTTCAGGGGTTACTCCTGGCTGTGCTCTCAGGATCACTCCTGGTGGTGCTCAGAAGACCCTACGGGATGCTGAGAATTGAACCCGGTCAGCCGCATGCTAGGCAAATGCCCTACCCATGGTACTAACGCTCCAGTCCCTAAAAAGCTCTGAATTTATGGGGACACACTCTGTGCTAGGCCCTCTGGACGTGGAATTTCTTAATTCTTCCAGCAACCCTGATGACCATTCTCTGCATTTTACAGAGGACAGAAAAAAGAGAGTTAAGAACTAGTCAAGATCACAGGGCTAAACCAACAAAGTACAGAGCCCCAAAAAGCAATGCAAATGTGGCTTGATTCATTACTCAGTTATTGAGGAGGGGATTGGCTCTATGCTCAGGGGACCCCATGGTCAGGGACTGAACAAGGAAACGCTCCATGCAAGGTCAGGGCCTTAAGGCCTGGACTATTTCTCAAAAAAGTATCTATTCTTCAACAAGAGCAGGCTGCCTCTCCTGGGAAGAAAGAGGGTAAAGGAGAGGAAGAGAAAATGTGTGGTGCATTTAATGGGCAGGGGGGAGGAGAATTTGAGGGGAGTGACGTGGCAGGTGGCTGGCAACCGTACGCTAATTTGAAGCCTAATGGTTAGGATGGCAGTGGGTTGGCATGGTTTTTTTTTTAATCCCCTTCAATACCAGTGGCACTGATCTAGGAGCTGCGGGGTGACAGGACCTGTTCATGGGTCACAGGCAGAGTCGGCCATCTGAAATCTCAATCCAGAAACCTTGCTCTGGGGGACAGCAGCCCAAGTTTGCCTGAGGGAACCAAGGTGCCTGAGAATGACACCACCAGAAGAACAGCAACCTGGGCAAAGTGAGAAAGGTACTTGTACCCCGCGACTCGGCCACCCATCAGGAGACAGAAATAGCTTCAGAGAAGCTGCTTTTGCATCTTCACCTGGTGCTATTCAATCACATGCAGCAAGAATGTCGATCAAGAGCCCCCTGACTACAGAGTAAAATTTTTTGCAATGGAGGCCAAGATGAAGGTTTAACAACCCATTGAGTCATCTCTGCCAAGTTCCTTCCCGAGTCTAAGCTAACAAATGAAGGAAAATAGCACCTACGGGGCTGGAGAGAGAATACAGTGGTGCATTTGTCTTGCAAGCCGTCAATCCCGGGCTGGGTCCCCGGCACCCCATGTGGTTCCCCTTGAGCCCTGCTAGGAATGATTCCTGAGCACAGTGCCAGGAGTAAGCCCTGAGCACTGCTGTTGGGTGTGGCCCCAAACCAACTAACCAAGCTGAAAGAAAATAGCATTTACCTCCTAGCTTTGGGCAAAGTCCACACTATGTGATCAAATCAAGTAGGGCTGGAGAAAGGACAGTGAGGAATGCACACAGCAAATTCTGGTTTGAACCCTGGCACAACTCCCCCGG